GATAAGCAGATGTTCGACAAGTGATTAATTGCCGTATCAATATCTCTACCACTACCTAATGCAGATTTTCATATACCTGATTGCAGGTTTCCAGCATTCCCGCAAGTTGCCAAATTGCCCCCTAAATATGACTGACTATTCAGACACACAGTGTGGAAGCTACGTGCTCTATTTGTGAGGCGTCATGATTTATAATCGTCCGAGAAGAGCCAGGCCGGCCCATCTTTTAGCAGGTCAGGAGTTCATAAATAAACTTGACTGAGGCGGGGCTGCCATAATGATCAGCAACACATTAAACTAGTCAGTGAGGAAGGACTTTTGGCTCATCAGCACATTCAGAACAGGACACAAACAAAAGGCTTTTACTAATATAAGCCACCAGCTCTTCTGTTTGCAGTCTGCAGTAATTATGTCGACTGAAGCCCTTGTAATGCTTTGCTGATGCCGTTCCTTTATAGTGTACACAGTTTGAAGTTTAATTATAAAGAGTGCCAAACATTAAAGCAAATCGAATCCATCTTCTTCACATTAAACAGCAGTGGATTACGTCCTGTACAAACGTTGAGGCTATTCAAACTAAGAAATTAACAAGTCCTTCTCTTTGATTACAGAAACTGGAATATACAAATAGAATAATAAAAGACCAACAACGAAGCACTTACTTTCAGAACTTTGATTTTCTCACAGCTTCCACACAGAAAACATGAAAACAGCAGAAGTTCTGATTGCAGTTTGTCCACCACCTCTACCTCAACACTGCTAATCTGCTCTGCTATGTGCTCCACAGACCCATTTAATCCCCTGCTTGCATACCTCCAAGTCTTTCCATTTACCATGTCTCCATAGACACACAAAAAGTTTGGTCCTCTATCGGGAAAACTACATCTGTCGGGATTTCTACATGCTGGGCCAAAACGGTAAGTTATGCTGGAGTTTTGTGTGATAATAACAGATCTCTTCTGTGAATGGAACGGTATTAGCAGTTAAAATGGAAAAGCGATTCAAAAACAGGCTGCTTGTTTGGTGTACCAAGAGTGAAATGGTGCTATTGTTCCAACAGCAAGTAGGAAATTAAGAGAACAGTGTGTTACTGTGGTTGGGGAAGGTGGAAAAATTACTTCTTTGTGGGCTGAGATTTCAGCAATTAAACTAAATATTACTTTTGTTTTTAGGGGGTTAGAGAAAATGGCCTGTTTAAAACATAATTTTGAGTAAACAAGTGGTGGTTCCTTAATAAAGCAGGCCCATAAGCCGCAAATACACACAACAGCACCAGGTAAAAACAGTAAATGCTACAATATAAATAATAATTTAGCTGCATGGGGATGTACAATAGCGCTCTAAAGGCTAAAAAAGACAGACATACAGCAAATCTGGTGCTTGTTGCAATGCTGTAATGCAATCTAAAGTGGAGCATGGCATCTGAGGACCACGCTGGGGGAAGCAGGGAGGAGTACAGCCAGACTGTGATGTGAAAGTCCATATAAGGCTGCAGGCGAGGAAATTACCAGAAAGGAACTGATGTAAGTGCAGAAACCTTGAGTCACAACATGACTTCCTTGGGAAACAGTAGCACTGCCAAGAGGCGTCCAGCAAAGGCAGAGTTTCACAATAATTACTGCTTTTGTGAAACATTAAGCTTTATAAATGTCACTTCAACATCGGACAAATAAACTGTGTTTGAAAAACTAGGGCACCAAAACGGTTAATGGAAAAACTTTGACTTTTTTCTCAAACCAAGAATCTTGTGCTCCCTGAGCCAGCGTGCTCTGGATGCGACTACGAGTCTAAAGCTGTCCCTGGGTGTACACGCAGTCTGGGAGCATTTGCTGAATCAGTTTGAGTAGCTTCCTTCTTTTATATGCCTTTGTCATCTTCACATGGCGCCACAAACTCAAGAAAGGAAACAGACTGCCAAGTGTTGCAACAATAAGTCTCACTTTGAATCAGTTATATCACCTTTCCTAGGTGCAACGATTTCTTGCCTATATACTTTGCTGCATCAGCAGAAATGAGAAACAACTACTTTTCTCCAGCTTAGATTTTAGGCTGCTCATTAAAAAACACTGGATCCCATGACGGTTTGATGAACTAGACAAAATCTTGTTGCTTCCTCTTGAACATCTACTCTGTCCACTATGAGTTTCCTGTTTTCTATCACTTTATTACCGTACAGACTACAGCCTCTTCTGCACTTTCCATTGTGATCTGATTGTGACTGCAAAACAGCTCATTTTGAGGTGTTTGAGGTCCCTCGCTGTTTCTGCAGCTGAAGCTGCTGCATCTACTGTAGGCCACTAGTCTGGTGTTGTTGAGGTTAACAGCATCCCAGCTGCACTCTGCAAACATTTGGCTCAAATACTAACGCTAAGCAAAGGACTAAAAATACATGACGAGAGCACGGCAAACATTTGCTGTGAAATATCTCAATAACGATAATGCTTATCTGCTTCGGGTGAAGTCCCCCTTGAGCTCCATTTACTACAAACACCAACCTTCAGTGACTCCGATCAATACCGTATGAGTGCTAAAATGTATTTTTAACAATAGCGTTTGTTTTCTTTTCTAAGGAAAAAAGACATGTTTGAATGACTATAACAATTTACTCAAAATAAATGCTGAATCATCTATAGTTGCCCTAATAGCATGATTTTTACTACTTTAAAGCTGACTTATTTCACAACGCTAAGAGGACTAGAGGAATTCCGTTAGTGAAGAAGAGGGTCATGAAGGCTCTTTAAGCGCACATGTTAAATGCCAGGATGCATAACATTTCGTTTTGTTGGGCTGACAGCTGGAAAAAATATCGAGGAAGTACTAGCAGAGACAATACTGCAGGAAGAGAGCAGACAGAAGACTTGGAGCCATTTGAATAGTATTATTGGTTGTGATTGAGAAATGTTCCAGGCAGTCCAGTCATAAATATATATGCTATTGTATTCAATTGTTGAGAACTCTATCACATTAGCCAAGTTACAGGGAACCAGGACTGCCTGCTGCCCAAAACAATACAGTCTTTATAACAAATCAGAACAACCCAGATAAGCATAAGCTCAAGTTGCTCCATCAAAAACCTAAGCATGATAGTGATTTAATAATGTAGTGTCTGCGACGTGACTTCTAAATGTATTTGTACGCAGATCACCTTCATCTCCTGGGTCATGAGTCACTCCTCCTGTAGCATCATGTTCCTTGGACATGTGAGTATCTGTCAGAACAAAGTCTGGATAACAGGGACGACAGACTGTACAGTTCCCATATTATCTTCCTGATTCAAGAAGCATTTCACTAAATCAATGCCCAGTATTTCAACACACACCTTCAACAGGGGAAATAGAATAGATGGGTGTGAATCAACTTTCACATTCACTATAGGCAGAGATACTGGGCGAGTCTCTTATAATCTCATTTGAATAAGACGCTAGAGCTTCTTTTCTTTGTGAAGAGCTTCAAATCTAATAAGAGAAGACACTACAGTAAAAAAATGGCTTCATATGAGCCGATCAGTTGTGATATTTTGTGATATGTCTATGAAAGAGCTTCCTTCAGACTAACGGAAAGTAGCAAAGGTGTTGATTGTACTATTTCTTTTTTCCGTCAACAGATTTCCACTACAGTGCACATTATGCGCAGCTACATACACCAAACGCTTCATTTTTATTCCTATCTATATTCTGAAGGTTCATAAAGAGGGCTTTGTTCATATATCACTTCTGGAACATTGCATTCCAAAAAAATGTGCTGAAAATTGATTTGGTTTTCTGATTGATAATAACAATATTATTAATCATAACTTTATTTTATACAGCACCTTTTAAAAACAGAGCTTGCAAAGCGCTTTACAGACATAAAGAAAGAAAAGAAGGATACTCAGGAGAGAACAGTGCACAACAGAAGGCTCGTCAGTCCAAACGTGGCCAAAGATTTTCTAAATAAAATAGTACAAAGACACTAGATAGAATAATAAAATGCTGCATCCAAGTAAAAGAAATAACAAGTGGAACAGGCTAAAAAAATTATGATAATAGTAATAATGGTAGGTAAATTAAATAAAGGGTGAAAGAGACTAAAATGACCGTAAAATACATGAAAAAAAAATCAAGTAGACAATGAAAATTTTAAAAATATATATATTTAGAAAGTGATACAAAGAGATTTTAGTAAAACAAAAAAAAAAAAGAAAAACTTTTTGGTGCTCAGATTTTTGTTCTGGATTTTTTTTTTTTTTTTTTACATATATTACCTCATTAGACGGAATTTCAGGAGACACAATAGCCAATCATTGTCTCATTATGTGCAATCATTTGGGGAGGTTTCATGAGGATACTCATTAGTTAAAAATACTCTAGTCACCTGTAGTCTCTCCTATTTAACTGTGGGTGTTTGTCCATGCAAAATCACAGCTCAGAGTGATTTTATTCGCCTTTTTTCCCCCTAATGTTGGCAGTATGGCACAAAGGATCTGAGAGCCTCCTTTATGCCAGCTCGCTGTTTGCCTCCATTTGCAGCAGATTTGGGCAGCACAGCTGGCCTCAGTGACAGTTCAAATCCCTCCTTGTTGGACAGAGAGGGAGGCCTTGGCAGGACTAGCTAGGCTGCTACTGCCAGGGCCCAGTTTCCGCTACGAAAAGCGATTCAAAGAATTATAAAAAAGCGAGATTTCTAAGGTACTAGCTTGAACCGTCCAGCTCAAAGCCTAAGAGGCCTTCAGTGGAGGGTTTGATTGAAGCCGCTCATTTTTTTTTAGTGAAGCAGCCCGGCGGGAGCGCGCACGCGTACACGCTTAACGGAAAGTACCACCGTAATCCTCGGTGAGTTTGAAAGGATGTAAAGGATTTTTTTTTCCACATTAAAATTGAAAACACCACAAAAAACGTTACTTTTAAAGCTAGCAGCATTTAGCCCAAACGCTCAGTTTGACAGAGACAAAAGGAGGAGACAGTCGGTGAGCTTTTCTTTTTTTTCTTTTTTTATGTGATAATGTGCTTTTCGAGTCTTACCGTTTTCGGCATCTTTCCTTTCGTTGTCGACAGAGAGAGAGAAAAAAAGTTGTTAAATCAGACGAGCAGCAGAAAACTTTTTTCCCATCAGAACAAACGGCGCCAACCAAACGCCCTCCCGTGTCGAGGAAACAAACGCGACTTTTTTAGCTTGACTACGACGAAGCTATTTCCAACGCTGGTGGGAGTGCTTGCTCTCTCTCCCTCCCTCTCTCTCTTTTTTTTCTTTGTTTCGCCGTAGAGTAAAATGGACTGCAGCTTGGTTTCCTGCTAACGGTACCCGTGCTTGCTGAAGAAAAAAAAAAAAAACCACACCCAGGCCGATGACAGGACAGCAGCCAGACTGAGAGAGAGGCTCCGGGCCAGAGGCAGCAGCAGACTCCGCCCGCAGCAGCCGCATCATCATGGCCGCAGCTCCCCCACCCTCAGCAACACACATACACATACAGCACAACACAGGGTGAATACCGCTCCTCTGCTCATCCAAAACTGTTAGCACACTAGACGCTACTCGTTATGTTAGAAGAAGTGATCACAGAAATGTGGGTTAGCACAAGCTGGCTATGCTGTTAAAAGCAGTGTCTGGGAGATGAAAAGCAACCACACAGATAAAACAAAGTGCTTCACACTTTAAACAGACAGAAGACAAATTAAAGGAAAAATATTGTCCCCTTGAGAGGGAAAGCTCAGTGCAAATCAATACAAAGCTGCTCAGAGGGATCACCTCTGTTCTACAATTTACATCCTGATATACAGTCAAATCCATTCATACCCTTCCATTCAAGAAAAGGCAAAAATCACAATCGTCACTCAAATAACTTGAAACTGAAAAAAGTAATAATAAATAAAAATTTCCTAAATTATAATTTAGTGAAATAAGATGTTGCTTTTGAATTGTGGTTGAAAAGAATAATTAAAAATAATAATAAAACAGTCCCGGACAAATTAGAGCACTTTGCTGATGAGCAGTGGGCCAAAATCAAAATACCTGTCAACAGGTGCAGAAGTCTGATTGAGAGTTACAGAAAACACTTGATTGCCTCAAAGGGTTGTTCAACAAAATATTAGTTTACGGGTCCCATCATGCTTGGTTGCTAAATTTGAGGGCGACTGTATCCTAAGTGGTCTCTATCAGGATGGCCGTGCCCCCATCCATACGGTGTAAGTGGTCGGCGAAAGGTGATCCATATCACATCCTAGGGCCTCCAAAGTTACCAGATCTCAACTTAGCAGAACATCTGACAGACTAAGATTTTTTTTAGTCTTTTAGTCTGACCAACAGACTAAAAAACATTTTTTTCCTCAGAGCCATAACCACTCTGAACTCCCACAAACACTGAATCGTTTCATTCCCACCACCATTCCTGTGAATCCACTGACAAACATCTCTCAGTTTGCAATATGTCACATGTACTCAGGTGTAACCTACCACAATCATGTCTCAGGTACAGCTGTTCCTCGCTGCTATTGTAAATACTCGCATTTTTATATCCATTTAATACCTATTGTCACTTTATATATATATATATATATACATCCCTCGGCTCTACAGACATCTTGTTTTTATCTTGCACAGTTTATTAATTTATCATTTATAGTTGTTCTTTGCACTGAATGGGATTGCACCCAATTTTGTTGTACTTTTATTGGTATACTGACATTAAAGGATTCTGATTCTTTTTCTGACAGAGACTTAGAACCAACTCTTCATCATCAAAATGAGGGTTTATCCTCAGAAAGAATAATGTTCATCCCTCCTGTAGTGTTCCAGAGATTTGGAAAATCAATGTCAAGTTGCACTGACGTTGTTCTGGAGGGGCACAGATGTTAGTTTTTCTATAAATTTGTCACCTATTTCATTTCCAATCTCTGCATATATTCCTTTTTATTACAAATATTGGTGTTTTATTGACCCATTTCCCACTGACATCGTGCTTGAGCCCCAGTAAACTATGAAAATGTTGAATAATCACAGGTGTCATTTTGTTTCTGCTAATATGCCACTGCAAGGATGGTCGTATACATAAAGCTTTTCAAATCATTTTCAGTGCGTCTGACTTTGGTATTTGTTTTCTTTTTGTTTCAGATGTGTATGACGTGACACTGCACCTCCACGTACAGGGAGCAGACACCGTTTTGCATGTAAAATGAATTTGACTGTGAGGTAATATCATTACAGTTTTACTTCTGTAAAGTTGAATTATATTAGGATGAGTAAGATGTGAGGTTTCAGAGGGATGTGAGACAACTAGTTGTCCAATACAGGCCAAATCTTCTGTTCCAAGAAAGTAAATAAAAAGGCAAGGGACATTATGAAACGATATGTAAAGCACAGACAATCATTAGAAACATACACAAAGTGCTCATCAATTTCAGCAATTTAGGTTATATCACCTAGGAATAATTTTTAAATAACATGTCACATTATTTTCTTGAACTCCTCACAGCATCATATACATATATGCTCTCTGCAATGTCAAAAAGAAAAGGAACATAACAGCAAGTGGTTTACACATTACTGTTACTGTGGTCTTGATGAAAGGGCGGAAAACATTCAAACCCTGCCTCAGAGCACCGTACAGTGGCAGGTCGTAGTTATTCTGAGCAGCTGTGGTTTAGAATGTTTTTTGCTAATTGCTTTTAATTTTACGGTTTTTCATCACTGTGAATTATTGTGTTTCTGAAAGTTCCAGCCTGTCAGGGCATCAAGTCCACAGATTCCCTAACTATGGAGCTAGGCTTTAGTACCTGCTCATGTTTGGTGCAGATGAACAGACTTCTCTGCTGCATCTGTAACAAAAGAAATGTGCACTCATTTCAGACTGGAGGCTTGTGTTTAAACTTTGTTGCAAAAACGACTGTAAACACTTTTTGTATGGACACATTTTTCTCCAAAACCCAGTTTCTGCTTAATTTCTGTACACATTAAGGGTTGCCAACCTGCAAGTTCCTCTTTAAAGTTAATCGTACCTTCTTAGAAACTCTGCTGCCTTTAGGGCCACAAACCCTTCTGTGACGGCTTACATGTAGATTATTCAGAAGAGCTTTGTGTTTACTGGAATCGATCGTGCTCTGTCACAGGATCAGCTGGCCTAAAATGTGTCACAAACCATTGAATCATCATAGCAGCATATTTTATCGCAAGAAACATCAAGTCAGGCCTCTCATCTTCTGTTACTTTATAACGGTTAGAGCTGATTTGTTAAACTTATTTTACAGCTGATTAAACCAAAATTTGTACCACTTTAACCTCAAAAGGTCATTGAATTTACATCAATGTTACTTTAGCACGTGGTACGAGGGGGACCTACACAATATCAGGCAGGTGATTGGCTGATTGGAGCATGGCACAAGTCAGTAATGTCATTTTATATTTTGGTTTTCAGCTAATTTTTTGCTTTTGTCGGAGTATGTGACCCATCTGTATGAAATCAGTCACATTGCACCTTGGGCTATATCCGAGATACAGCCTGAATTCCGTTAACATGTGATAAAATATTGATTTTGAGTTCATTACTTAGCTCGGTTTAGTTGTTTTCTACATGTAGGTAACATACAATAATACTCTCCACATCACTGTCAAATACCGCCAGCATGCATGAGCAGTAACACCAGATAGAAGCCGTTGAATCACTTGTGCGCAGGCGCCACAAGCAATGTGTCACCGCCAGCCAATCCTGTCCCGTGATTTACGTCATGTGGTAGTAACATGCCGTTTTTGTTTACGCGTAATAGCCCGAGGCGCAATGCCACTGATTTCATGCAGATGGGTCACAAATGTTGTTTTTCCATGTTTAAATCAGAATTTCCCAACAAAACCTACGCACAAGCAAGAGTGTAATGCTATATGTGTATGTGCAGGTGGAAATGGTGACAGTGTTCACGTTTTATGCTTAAAAGGTAGAAAAAAAGGAAGCAGCAGTGACTACATGAAGGAGTCCCCCGGAGCCTGGCTGGTGCTTTAACACTCCCAGAGGAAGCACAGCAGAGACGTCACTGCGTTTCGTCTGTTGACTCATCCCTCCACTCCCAGGGCAGGATGACCTCCCACATACTCAGCTCGCACTGAATGAGCTGCCTCCTTGGGTTGAATCAAAGGCAAGATGGTGTGTGTTTCTCCAAAATAAAGGCTCACGCTGACCAGACCGGTGAAACTGTGTCACAGTCTGTCTTCTGGCCAAACAGAGCAGCCCATTTGTAGGACGTGTCCGATCCCACTGTAGTCTAAAGGGTGTACACACAACTCATTCTAATATAATCTTTAGTAATGATTTTTAGATTAAAATCTAACTAACCACATGTTAATATTTCTGTAAAGGGGACGTTAAAAGGTTTCGTTGCAGTACACAAGAGTGAACCTCACCTACCAGAGCTCTCAGCCCTCCTGTGGAACAGAGTGTTCTCTCAGGTCAGCCTGCTTTTATCGCTGATATTAATACTGAGGAATCTGACTTCAATACTCCCTTAAGGGAGGCTGTACAAACTCAAAGGACTTTCTTTTTTTTTTAACATTCAACCTTTACTAAAATGCCTGCCAGGTATAATCATGAGTTCTTACACACAAAATACTTTTCATTTTTGGGATTTTTTTCCCTCTAATCTTTGATTTTTGGTGAGATATTGAACTGTTTTTTTGAAATGAAACTATGTGAGAAGTGTGTGTGTGTGTGTGTGTGTGTGTGGGGTGGGGGTGGGGGGGATCATTGTTGTGGCAGAGCTGTTAATAACTCATAGATATCTGATGTGTGACCCTGACTACACGCATGCTTTTTGTAAGACGTCAGAAGCCAAATAAAGTTGGATAACCACTGGTTTAATCTTTAACAATGTTTTGTATTTTAAGAGCTCGCCTCATTATCCACCGTGTAAGACCTTCATCTTAGGAGTAACTAAAGCAGTCAGATTGTGGGGTAGAAAGGACAATATTTCCATCTGAAATGCAGTGGAGTAGAAGTATAAAACAGCAAAAAATGGAAAAAACAAACACTTCAGCATACTACTTAAATAACTGTACATAGTTACGTTCCACCACGGCCAGTTTGTACAAAGAATCCATGTGAAATGATAAAGGTCATTTTATAGCCCTGCGTGTGTCATTGACAGATGCCTCGAGCTATTACAGCATTCTGCCAGCAGATAGTGTGCATGTGCTGTGTAACCTGTTGCACGACTACAGCTGGCGCACAGAGTCAGAGCGCTTAAAGACTATATGACAGAAACAAATCAGCAACACAGGATGGGTTGCTCCTAATTATAAAGGAGTGTTCATGTCATAGAATTTCAGATTGATTTAAATGTCATTATTTCAGGAGACCTGTATGAAAGCTTTCAGTCACAAAAAGACATCGCTGAACAGGATTACATTTTGGCAAGCATCTTTTTTGTGATATTTGACCACATGTGGTAGCATCAAGTAGTTGCTTTCAGAAAACCTTTTAATTCAGCTTCTGCATACCATGACCAAACCATTCAGACCCAAAATAAGATGTGACATTCTTTAGCTTGAGCGCTGGCTTCACCTTCCTCTAACAAACAATGGGGACCATTTTCAATGACCAATTATTTCAAGCCATCTATTCAGCTGTCAGGCAGAAGGCACGATGCTATTATGGCAGCGTGACTAAAACTTCAAATGAGTTCGTCTAACTTCTACCCAAACAAATCCCCGAAACAGGATGAGCACTAAACATTTCGGTCAGTGAGGACACTGAGGATTTCGATAAAAACAAACCCCTTCTTACCTTTTCTCCCCTCAGACAGCTTTAATAAGTAAATATTATTCACATAAATGAGGATCGGCGTCCCCTTGTCGTCTCATTAAGAAAGATAAAAACACAGTTTGAACAGAACTTTGCTTTATTATGGAGAGAAACACAGTTTGTCATTAAGACTTACATTTTGTTTGAGCCCACAGACCCAAATAGTCTATTTTTGTATATTTTGGTCTATAAAAGCAATGCTTTCCAGTCAGTGTGAATTACAATACTGCAGATCATCACAACACAAAAAAAACTTGCTTTATATTTCCCTTTTTACATTGCAGACACAGTGGTCTATTTAAACAGGAGATCTACACTTACTTCAGAAAGGTGCCCACGGAATTTCTCAATATTAGAAAACAACCAAGTCTGCTTGTGATTTAAAATGTTTGTGTGACTTAACCTGAGTATTACACTGTATACTGTGTATGTACAGTCCTGTTTAAATGCACGGGCCTCCTGTCATGGCATTTGTACACCAGCGATTTTATATGGTAGCACAAACTGCAAGACATCACGAGGTTCACAACTGTTTGAACCGATTATCATAACAAGTATGCAATGTGTATACATCAAAAATCACTTTGGTCTTGATCTTAGCCAACAACAACTGAACTTAGGTGAATATAATATCGACAATATCGTCCTTAACACCTTGGAAATAGCGATAATTTAATGCAAACTGGCCTCAGAGACCAAAATTACTCAATTACAATTGGTGAATAATTCAATAGTAAAATAAATCACATCATTTCAATACACTTCTGCTTTGTCGACATGGAGGGTTAGTCATTAAATCAACGGTCAGACACTCCATTAAACTCCCATTTTAAAAAGCATCTGTATATCGAAAGAGCAACAAACATCAAACACAAATCTGAGTAATAACTGACACTAAATTCACCATCCAGGGTCAGTATGCAGCTGACAATAAGCTGCAATTTATAGATATGCTTTTAACCGTTTTTACCCGCCACGCTTGACGCTGATTTGCGTTTGGTGCTCGTTTCTCTTCGCTCACAGCGTGTGGAACAGAAACCCTTTGTCCTCGGAAATATAGAATTCATTGCATGACAACCCATGTGCTGAACCTCAAGAAATTATTTTTGACAAAGTCACCCAAGAATAACTTTGGCATGTTTTATTAGGCAAAATATATCCAAAAATATTGAAATTCCCATTAAAATAGCATAAAGCAGACATGTCAGTTCAGAGGAAATAGATGCACTTAACCAAGGTGCACAGATTACAACACAGAAATTATCTGAAGTATTTGAACAACTTAAGTAACTGTTACATTTACAGATCGCTTTCTATATATACACACACACGTGTGACTATGTACAGAGAGGACATGATGCTTACTGCTGTACACAGGGTATCTGTGCACTTTTAGGTAGCACGTAAATGTCCCTGTAAATTAACTACTGTACCCAGTAAGAATTAGTACATACCAATGGGCTACTCCCAGTGACACACAGTGTCACAAACATTATGGCATTGATTTTTTTTCCCCGTTATTTAAATAAAACTATTTTCATATTATACATTTCATATTTTGTTACATTCAAGGTATAGATACAATTTGTATCAACAAGCAAAAGTCAATTCTAGACATTTGTGGCTTAGTTGTTTGCGGCACTTAGAAAGGAAGGGAGGGGACGATGAACCACCGTTGTAGCCTTTTAGTGTAACCTCCTCGCAAAGCAGCAAAATACTGGACTGGTACTTTGAAAGTCTTCTGTAGTGATAGTGAGGGTTTTTATTTTTGTCCTGGAAGCAGTCTATTGCCCAGCGAAAACAGTATCTTTTTGAAAGCTGTCTTAGAAACAAGAACAAAATTTAGATCTCTCTACAAGGACAAAGAAAAGTCCAGATGGAACTTTGTTGAGCCCGTACTGTTCATGAGCACATTTTATCTAATGAGAGTGATGGGACAGCAACGTGGCACCGTGCCCCACATAGTAACTTACGAGCTCGTGAGCAAAACCAGTAGTGAAAATTAACTTGTGTGTGTATCTTTCTGAAACCATAAAATAACTGCATTTCAAGGACACTAACAAGATTTATTTGAATTTAAACAGATTCAACATTAATTTAATGTACTGCAAATGACAGACCAGGATTCCAATTATAGCTGCACAAAGTTAGTTTCTTCATAAACTGCTTTAGCTGCCATAGATGTCAAAGTGAAGCACTCAACATGCCCACCGGTTTACCTATCAATGCTGAAAATAACATTTCTTTAATAGTTCCCTCAATAAATACGAAAACATTTTTATTTCAGCAGATTTCTGTCATGTCCTACATTACAGTTATTAATTCCTTACACACCAAAGTACGTATACTCTTTAGTCATTGGGCAATAGACTATTCTAGTGTTCAGGTTAAAGAAGGCTTTCATTATCACTAAAAAACAAATAATAGGTTAATAAATACATTTAAAAAAAATACAAAAATAGTGATCTCTCGTTGCTCTCACTGTCAGCAGCCATGGTGATTTTTTTTTTTTTTTTTTTTACAATTTTAGAGCAGTTTTTTTTTTCTTTTATCAGTGACAGCATGCAGCATTTCAGTCTTTACACTGAGAGCACATTTTTTGGGGAACTGATTTCAACTATTTCAAGGAAAAAGGATGGCACGCAAACTTTTAGCCAAATGCCAGAAACAACCTTGACAGCAGCCTTGCAATCTGATTGTTTCACATGAAGAAACATTTAGGCAGTTTGTTTCACCTTCTCATGAACAGACAGCCAGCCTAAAGTGGCCTCGTCTTTTTTCATGAAAAAACAAAGTCAGCGACGCCCAAAATTCATTTGGGCAAAACACATTCAACAGTTTTTTTTTTTCTTTATGTCTGTTCGTATACCACTGTTGTACCTAAACATTATAAAGAAATATATATTTTTGAAAGCACCACCACTGAGACACAGTCAGGCTGACAGAATTAGCCCTGTTAAAGAGTAATACCACTCACTTTAAAAATTCTCACAATGTTTCTTTATAATCATCACTTTGATGCTGCTTCATAGACTGTAAATGGGAACTTTGTGTATTTTGCTTTTGAGCTCCACATCAAATGTTTTTTAATTAGTTAAGGAAATACAATTCCCAAGCAATAAACTTTACACAAATGCATTTTTGTTATTTCAATCACAATTTTTTCTTTCTTTTTTTTTTTTTTGCTTTACAAATCTGACAATAAACAGTAAGGGGGGAAACTCGTGATAGCATACTGTAAATCTGTAATGCTTAGTCATGCAATTTAATAGCAGGCTTAGTGGTACCACTCCTGAATCCTGAAAATAAGTGGCATTTCCCTTTAAATGCACTCAAACATGGTCCTGCTAAACGGGCTGGCTTTACATGGTGCAACCTCGCTGTAAATGAAGGCTGAATGTTTCATGCAGCACTTCATCCCAAGGGTGGAAGTAGAAAGAAAAAAAAGGCAAATAATCACGAGAAACAGGGGCGTTAATCCTAATGACAGCATGAATGTGTTGAGCAAAACTGATGGTGATGTGCCCCCATTAGGAAATACGTTTTGGGAATAACTGATAGGTTTGATTTGAGGACCTGAGGGCCGCACCCAACTTCATGGTTAGCACCCAAAATTAGCACCTTTGGGCTTACTAATGGGAACAATTTAAAGGCCCGATCAGGATTATTGGTTCATTATTTACCAACAATCGTCATACTAATTGTCATGTTTGTCTTTGGCTACATGGACACCCTCGTGGACAAGCAGCATTACGTCATCTGAGTGAAGCTGCACCACATAAATCCACCCTTCAGCTCGTTGTTCTAGATCTCGAGGTGCATAAAGAGGATATACACAAAAAGTACAAAGTTTTGCAATGCCATCTCCATGGTTCAACTGTACATGACTAACTTTAAGGTACTACATGTTACATGTAGGATGTTCACAAAATATATCACTACTAGATCAGAGTACACTCCTGCCAGTAACCACGGGTTTTTTTGGCAGGAAGAAAAAAAACTTAAAATTAGAAAACTGAAAGCATCCTGAGAGCGATGTGCTGCAAGGCACAGCCAAACCCTTCCATGATCCTTGGAGCTTGGCTGCATGTTTCGCGTATTTTACATGTGTATTTAAGCAGTTCGACCTCCCATAAAAAGCCATACAGGAAATTTCATCTCCAACATGCTTTCTAGCATTCACTTAAACTTAAGTTGTGTTTTTATTATACAGTTATTGAAACCTAAATCTCTACAAGATACCACAATATTTAACTCACTACCAATCCTAACTGTTACAGCCAGATTCCTTTAGCTATCTGACAAACGTAACATCAGGCAAATATTCAGTCTGTTGCAAGAATTCCTTGTGCAAACATTGAACTGTGACGGTAAACACTGTTTCCGTCTCTAATAGTACATTTCTACCACTCGTCCCTACTTAAGTCACGTCACAGCTCGGAGAATGGATTCTCAAAGTTTCACCACATTTACATGCACGTAAGAAACCAGTTAACTGTCAGAAATCGGGTTAAGGCATGAAACTGGATGACTCGTCGCTCCTCCACAGTTTGAAACATCGTAAGTGGATCGAATGCATTGCGTAAGAAACTTGGTGAATAGAAGGGCGCTGGCACGTTGACATTTTTTTGATTGAAGCATTTGGGATAATGGACACGTGAGGGGATGGGCTCTATCATAGGGCAGCATGTTTTACTATGTGCGTGTTTTGTTTTTAACTTGTGCAGTTTTGGTAACAGACTGCCTATATCAACAGGTTTGTCCACCACAGACTGGACTTTGGATGTAATGACCTTCTATGTCCCAGTATTGCCTTTCTGCTAGAAACCACAGAGGTGATACCTTCCGTGTCCTCTGTTTCTGTCACACACATGAGCACTTAGTGCCGTAAACTGATGGAAGGAGACCATGTTTCTCATTTATGGGTCAGGAATCAGGTTAATGGCGAGAGCTGGTAAATCGTCAGACTACTTAAGTGCATGTAAAAGTAGTCTGAAACTAAATTAACCTGCACCTGAAAACAAACTGCTCCACTGACAACTTGTCCATTAGAGCTACTGTTTGAAACAAAGATACTTTGAATACTTTCACATTGAAAAGAATCAGCACAACAGATCTGACAAATATATAAATAGGAAAATCCTGGATGTAGCATCCCATAAAATCAGAAATGTAACTATACAGTACACCATAGGAAATTATTCAAACACGGATGTTCCTTTATATTATAATCCAATTGATCCTGTGAACCAAAATGTAAAGTTATGTAGAATACTGAAACTATAGAAATTCTGTATTTTTTGGCATTATTTAGCAGCTTATAAATGACTTTGAAATAATGGCTTTTGTATGAATATATGTACATAAATATGTGCACGTGTATGCAAGTCAAATCTCTTTTTTGGCTTGCTTTGTGCACTGTCAAATTCTACCAAAATAGTAGCTTTGTTAAGTGAGGCTGAGAAAATATATCTCTTTAGATACTGAGATAGTGCTTTACATTTAAAAGTAGGAGGCTTCAATGACAAAGACTTTCACTGAAACCAATCAGACAATGACTAAAGCGTGAGGTCATTCAGATATAAGGCCATAAAATGTCATAGTTCATGCTGTGAGGTATATACCTACCTCCCTCTTACTCATCTTCAAAATAAATGCACAAAAAAGAAAAATATATCACAGGAATTATTTACAGCAGAGGCAGACCTAAGCAAGGTTATTTATAGTTCCACTGCACCAGAAACACTTTAGATGCCTTTCATAACACATTCACAGGGCCTAAACAAGATCTTCATAAGAGCTACATGCTGTACAAATGTTGACGTGTCTTTATGTCAAATCTAATAAGGCAAATGTGGGGGATGTTGCTGAGTAATTACTTCCTATGTTGACTGTGTTGCCATGTAGCTAACTCGTTTATTTATTCGCTTAGTTCTCATTGACTCCCACTGGTTCGGCAATAGACTGAGAAGCTACATTGAACAGGATACAGTTCGGATTCAAGTCAGGCTCAAGTTGTGATGATGCGTAAACACTTGGCCACCGAAACCCACCTGTAATCAATATTAATAAATAGAATAGACTGTGAAATAAATGAACAAACTGTGTAAAATGAATCAGAAATTTGTGAATATTCAGTAATTATTAAAGCCTCTAAACCCCTAAGCACTTTCTGGACATTTTTACTCACTGTGAACTTATTTTCACTGAATTATAAAGCGCTGCATCTCTATAAACACAGCACAGCCTTAGCTAGAAGCAGAGAGAATTCAAAAATGTCTTTTGTGCAGTATGACAAAGTTACAGTGTCATAAATCATTCCTAAAAAACTTAAAGTGGAATTTCTTTGATTTAGTTTCTATAAACTTAAATTAAAAAAAGGAAAATAACATGTCCAACATGTTTCCAAGTGCTCTTCACACTGTACATATTTTATAACTCACATATTTAATTTGTTTCCACATTTGTCTCCTATCCGAAATTTCTTTTTTTTCCCCTTGAACTGTCTTTGACTGCTGGCCACAGCAGAGTCAGCGAACGCGTCACAGTTGCACCGAGGAGGAACACTTTCTTTTTAATTAGTTAAATAATTAGAGCAAACATTGTATTTTTTGGTAAATTCGTAAATTAATCAAGCAGAATAATGCAATGTTGATGAAACTGTATGATATTAAGCTTAGATTTGGGTACCAGTGGCACTTGACAGATGATTGGTTGAAGGAATGTTCACCTCTCCTGGGGATTTTCCAAAGTCTCTCTACTCAGCTGGTAGGTTTTGAGGTTCAGAGGCTTAATACTCACTACAAAATGTTGTTTCTTCATTCCTATAGTAAAAACAGCTTTCACTCAAATGTCTTCACTAGTGAATAGCGTTTTGCCAGTGAAACTTATTTAATGTCATCTTTTATTTCACAATGACTTTATTTCATAGTGTCGCTTTTCATGACATTGATATCGTCACCATGTTCCTACTTTCAGCTTGCAGTTTTAACAGCCAATGCCAAATGTAGCCCATTAGCAACTGTTAATTAAAGCAGCAACAAAGTCAACATAACCAAACTGGAGAACGCCTTTCCATAAACAAACATCGTACACAGACACAGCAGCTAAACCTTATTAGCTAATATTATCTGGATTAAACAACAAATTAATTTTTTTCAAAAACAAAAAACTCTTCACTTAAGTGCTTCGTAATAAACCATGCGTACAACCACGTTAACCAGCTATGTACGTAGCTTATCTTTATACCTAATAAAAAATAAAAGGGAATGTTAATTTCTTTGTCTGTGTACTACAATTACTTAACAGTAGCAGCTAGCTAGATACGTTTTACTGACTTTGACAGTGTTGCTTTAGTTACCAGGAACTAACGAGACAATTCTGGCAGCAGCTGTTGAGTTTATTTAGTTTAAGATGAGCAGGAGGGTAGCGACAGCCCTGTCCTGAAAAGTGACAGTGTGACATATAAAGGGACATTATTTTGTTCATATATTTAACAAATTGTACTCGTGATAATTTATTTAATATTGAACACTCCAGGGCTCCATGTATATCTATCTTTAGAGCAGGAATCTATTTAGAATTTTACTGTCCTGCCAACTGCTGACAGAACATTTTATCTGACTTTCAGACTTCGCGGTCATGTTGAACAAATACTGCTGTGCTGCTCCTGCTCAGGTACTATGAATGTGTTATGAAGCAGATTTCTAATAAGGTGTTACCTTACATCAACTACACTACACTTCATATAAAAACTCTCTCTATGCTGATTACATCTGTCATCTTAGCAGTGCAAAATCTGTTGCCAGACTTACCACCAGAGACATTTGAAATGATTAACTCCTGAGGGCAGATGTTGCACATGCAGCAACATTTAACAAGTGCCTATCTTTGCAATCAAAATCCTGTTTTGTTTTTTTTTTTCCTCCATCGCATCACTCTTGAATGTTTCATAAGAGTAACTGCTCAGTGGCATGACCTCAGTTTTGTGACAATGACAGCGGCAAGTTGTTGTGGGTCTGTCAGATGAGGGTTCTTCTCCATTACCGAGTGGACTATGTAAGCAGGAAAGATGTTACAAAGGTTCCTATATGTTTGATACTGGTGGTCTGGGATAACATACCGCTCTTGGTGTTCCGCTGCAGACTGGGTCTCCCATGGTGAGCTCCAGATTTGTTCCATTTTGTCTGGCATGCTGCGGACCATCACCCGCTCACAACATGGCATCAGGCTGTTACTCAGTGGATATGAATGGTATCCATAGGACTCATTACCACAAGGCAGAGGGTCCCAGCTTGCATGCTGCTCACGGCACAGTGGAGGTCGCCTCTGTCTCATTGGGTTGCTATCGTACAGCCTTGAATCCGATATGCTGTCCATACGAGTCATACCTAGAGACCGTGTGGGTTGTGAGGACAAAGGCGGGAGGACATTCTGAGTTAGGGGATAGTCTCCAGGACAGCTGGACCTGGCTCCCACTGCAGCATGCTGGATATGTGGTGCTAGATGAGATCCAGACTGCTTACGGGGGCCTTGTTTGGGCTCCTCCGGTCCGTAACTCTGTACCCTAGTCAGCGCTTCATGACGAAACCCATGGGAGAAAGCTTGCATCCTCCCCTGTGCAGGAGACTGCTGCTGCCCCTTCATGCTCTCCTCTAAGCTACTGTCCACAGAGCTTGGGTACAGGTCCCCATAAGAGGAGAACGAGTCACTGTTTGAATGGCTGAGGCAGGATTCAGGGCAGTGGCTGGGATTTCTCTGATACACATGCTCGTGCTCCATGCTACAGAAACTGTCGACATTATGCATGCTGCTCATGCTCATATTTGAAAAATCACTGTGCAGTGAATAATATCCATGGTCGCTAACTGAGTCATACTTTGGGAACTGTTCACTGTATGTTACAGAGGCGCCATGACTATTGGTAACTAAAATAGGAGGGTACTGTACACTAGACATGTGCTCCAAGGAACTGTGAGAGAACTGCAAAGAACCTGGAACTGGGCTGCTGGCTGATCGTGTGTTCAAGGCCCCAGCTGCGTGGCTCTTGGCAGGCTGCATGGTGGGCACACTGAGAGCAGACACGAGGGAAGGCACTGAATTTGTCTCAGACTTCCTAACAACGGACAGTGCCTCTGGAGGTTCACAGGCCACTGAGCGAATGCTGGGGTCAGACTGACGTTTGGGTGCCACACGCTTGGCCTCAGAGTTGCTGTCCCCTTTTACAGTTGCTGGACCGGTACCACATTTAGCTAAAGCCCCCTCGCTCATCGTTTTCACTGCAGACAATTTGGCAAAGGCCCGCAGTTCATCTGCCACGGACCGCTGTGGCTGGTTGACACGTTCTGGATGATAGTACTTGCACTTATGTCCATATGTGCACTTTTTCCCTTGTTTAAAGAAAGAATAGACCAAGTCAAGGAAATGAAACACTTGAGTTATATTGACAGGCAAGAAATACTTACTAACACTGATTTGAAAAAGGGGACTTACCATAGGGGCAAGGTTGTTTTTTGTGCTCTGGAACAACAGGCCGCTTTCTGAGAAAATTTTCTAAGCTTGGCCCATGTCTCCCCAAAGGATCATCAGGCGGCATAAACCTATTCAAATTATAATGAACAAAAGTATTCATTAATAAATGTGAACACAGCACACAGCTTTCCAGAATCTGTCTCCCCAATTTTCTATAAACTTAAGATTGTAATACAAGGATTAAACAGAACATGCCAGCATCTCTAAAATAAATAAACATTTATACTAGTAAATGTATAGCTTCCCTCATGGGGTGAAGCTGTCCTAGAGTGCATTTTACATCAAATGCATCGTGGTTTCTTACTTGTCATTGACAAATGAGTACATCAGGAGACGTTCTTCGATAAACTTCTTCCATTCTGGCTTCTCATTTTGCAAGTCCCTGTAGTTGTCATTTGACACAATAATTCCATCAGAATCATAAGCCAGCTTCACTATGAAGCGATCATCGTAGCACACCACTCTCCTGCCTTGGACTCTGCGAGATGGGGTGAAAACCAGGATCTTCTCTTTCTCCAGCTTGCGTAATATTTCTTGATCTGAGAAAGAAATTTAAATTAAGTTCACTTATTTTGGATGACAATTTAAACTCAGGTAGCACTAGTGTTATGTTAATGTAGGTAATTTGAATGCACAGCTACTGCCTAAAAATAGCTCAAGTACCTGTGATGAGGGCATCAGGTCTTGACTGCTCCTTTCTCCAGGCAGGGACAAACACAGTGATGTCTTTGTGTCCTTTTTCCAGAAACCATTCAACAGCAAGCTGGATACCGCGGCAAGAGAATACCTCTTTGTTTCCATGGCTGAAAAACACAACAACATCCTGTAAGGTCTACCTACACGTCACAGAGCAGACATCCATTAGAAGAAAATGTTTCAAAAAAATTAAGCACATTCTCTATAAAGAACAGAGCAGCTAAATACAAGTGTATGCTAGTCTCTTAAATCTCCTACCTCATTGCCACGTTTGAGCCATCAATGACGATGGGCCTGAGGTTATCAAAGGTATCCACAGGTTCATCTTCCACTGACACTTCAGGGCTAACAGTCTCTTTAACACAGGGCGACCGTGATATCGACGTGGCCGTGCTGCTGCAGGGTTGAATTTCGGGCTCTACTTTGTTTCCAAGTCGCACTAACTCAGCAAGAACGTCGTTAATAAGTGCAGCAGCCCCCAACTTGTGGAGCACCGTCTCCACCTGCTCCCCTGAATAGCCCAACTTCAAAGCGAAGTCCATCTTGGTCTGGTACTCTCTCTCACTGGCAGGTTTGATCCCCGGTAGTGCGCTGGTCTCATCCTGCACAAAATCCTGCACAGTGCTACTCTGGGAAAAACTGGGCCGGTCCAGGCATGGAGAGCGACAGAGCTGTCGGTGGGGTTTTGTGACAGCCAAGGGCTCCCTTTTCTTACAGCTGCTGCTGTTCACCTGAACCCTCTGGGCTTGCTGCTCTTCCGATTCGCTTTCTGAGCTGCTTCCATCCTCAGACTCGTCAGTGGCATGCTGGGCCTCGCTTGAGTCAATGTTGTCCTCCCTGCATGGGCGTTTTTCCATTTTGAGCTTCTCCACCATGGACCATGCTGTCATCACGTCTGTCCTGACACCTCAGATTTCCACCCCATGCTTCCTCACCTCCACCGCAACCAGGGAATCATACTCAGTGTTGGACTTCAGCACTACAGGCTCCTTGTGTAGGGCCAAAGTAATGGGGTCTTCACCTATGTAAGCAGGCAAAATTAAATTATGTAATCCTGTGAAAGAGCAAAAGCACAATAGTCAGTATCACAACTCAATCATTTTGAAAGACATTTCTCACATACAGCTGTTTGGTTGATAAACCCAAAAACATATTTTTTGAATCAATGCACGTCTGACATTTAAAAGCCTGCTTGGTAAAGACGAAATAGAGTTTACTGTCATGATAAATTCATGAGCACCTGCTTGTGAATTTGCTGTTTGTGTAATTCGCTTCAGACTCACGTACCCACCCTTCACCCTACTTGCGGTAGACCAGTATGTTCATCACCTGTGGGAAACTTGCTATCTGGGGCAAGTGACAAAATGATTCTAGCAAATACAACACATCAGTCAGTTGCGGTTCACAAACTCCAAAAATAATCAGGTCTAGTTTTTTGTTTGTTTTTGCATTTATCAGGCTCCAGATGAACTTTTGGCATTGGTTGCACTGCTGCACTTAGCTTTATCAATTAGGTGCACAAGCATATAATATCTTTAATGCTGCTTTAAATATCTGTAACCTGTTCTTTTTTATGAGGATGAGTGATAACAAATCGTAGCTCTTTTGTTATAAGCAGTGTTAAACATTTCTGATTATTTCTAACTCCTCACTGCTTGGGTTTGCTGCTGCCAGGCGCTAAAACACTGCATTGAGAAGGACTGTTCTGTTGGACACCACCTGTCATGGCACATGACAAATTTCTTGCTTTTGTTTTTTTAAATTATTGTTTCAATTCGAAACACAAATGCTGCAACAGCAAAAGCACCATTTCCAGGCCTGCTTTGCTTGCGCTCTGTGCGGTACATAATGGCCACAATTTTATCATATCTCAGTGTTTCCCACAGGTTGAGAACGACTTGTGGTGGTGAGTGGTGCAGTATGACTGATGTGCATGCAGAGACTGGTGGTTAAGAGGACAGGGAGTGTAACCCAGGTCATCTTCTGAAGCAACGATTTACAGGCATCCTCACAATGCTTCACATGCACTTTCTTAGTAGGAGACACAGTTCATCCACGTTCTCTGAATGCCTCACATGCATTAGTGGACGCTACAATTTACTGATATTTCATCAACGCCTTACGTGCATTGGTAGATGCTAGCTAGGTTGTTGCACGCAGAGTAACCTTTAATCCCCCACGCAATTACTACAGTGCAGGCGCTCAGACAAATGCGTGTGCAAAAAATGTTGTGGAGGGCGCCGCGTTGGCTCAGCTGGTTGAACTGGCGACCCATGTACAGGGCCTATAGTCCCTGACACAGCAGCCCACTCATGGCCCTTTCCTGCAAGTCCTTCCCCCATTCTTCTCCCTCACTTTCCTGTCTCTCTCTCTCTGGGCTGTCCGATTTAAGAAGGCAAAAGGCCCGAAAAAATAACTTAAAAATAAATAAATAAAAACTATCTTTTCAAAAGAATGAATTAAAGTGTTGTAATGTCAGATTTAGCAATGTTGAACCCAAATGTCATTGTGCACTTGAGCAAGCAGACACAGACAGAACTGACCTCATTCACACCAGTTCAACCTGTGAAAAGTTATACGTGACAGAATGTTGACTGCACATGAAACCAAAGTGGTCGCACTCTGGAACCCTGTGTGTCAACCTGCAAAGCACTGATTTGTAAAAATTCATATTAAGTGATGTAGTTCAAGCTGTAGGTTTCACCTCACTGCACGGCTTTGCTTTAAATTGTACCAGAGCATCCAGAGCAGCTAAACTTGTTTGACCTAATTGTTGTTGGTGTGAGAAAGTTACCAACAAACCTTAACAGAACCGTTGCTAATGTTAGAGAGCAACAGCATGTGAGTTTAACACAACACACTGCATTTTTTTTTTCCTAAAACAAATAAAGTACATATATATAAAAATCATACAGCGTCAGTGCTTTCCTCCTCCTTGTAGGCACCATGTGGAAAAACACAGACGTAACACACAGCAGAGTCTCCACCCAATTTCCCTGCCTTTACAGCTTACTGGTTTTAAAATGGAAATCACAGTGTTTCGGCACAAAATGTTCTGCAGAACAGCCCTCGTGTCTGTGAGCACAAAAGCCTGGCTGGTCTCACACGCAACATTCGAGCCAGACACATATGGGATGAGTACATGAGTTAACATAACCTGAGACAAAGTGTGGGCTGAACAGTGTATCCCTGCACCTCCAGCCCTCTGACAGACAATCTGAATTGAACAGAATTCCATAGGGAAGCTTTTTTATGGTAAAGCAGTGCAGAGCTTCGGGTGAGTCTGCAGTACTATAAACGATGAACAGCGCTGCAAAGAGCTGCCAGTGTACATTTTGTACACATGGATATCGATTAGCAAAATAATGTTTATAGCAAATGCATTAATGAACAGACGCACTAGACTACACTTTCCCCCAGTCTTGCAGAGAGCTGAATACAGCCAGCTCCGAGCTTCAAGAGGCACAGCCCATGATGTGCGTTGCCTAGCAACACAGCCTTGTCATCAGCTAACTCCTTTTTACCAGTCACGACTAACACAAACACAGCTCATCATCTCTCTTCATGCAGGCAGTAAATGCAGAACACTTACAGCTACACTACAACTCTACACCAAAACTCTTGAGGCAGCATATTTTGCAATATAAAAAAATACCTTATCTAGACCTCTGTCAGTGCTGACCATTGAAAAAAAAAGAAAAAAAAAGTCAAAGTGAATTCCGGTATATATTTATGTTAATCAGAGAATTAGCCTGACTTTTAGCATAATACTATATAATTGGGAACAATTATAACAAGCACTCACACTCATGGGAGACACTTAAGGTTGAGACATATTTTGAGGGTCGTCTATGGTTGAGTAAATGTACCTTGAAATGTCAGTGTTTTGTGTGGGCTTCCAGCATCAGTGGCACATACTTTCACTCCTGAACACTACTTGTATGACAAAGACGCAGGACTGTGAGAATGATATTTTCCCAAACAGCTGAGACACACAAACAGCTTGTTGTTGAACTTTCAGGATTAATGACAGACACAGAACAAAGGCTCACACAATCCACTGCCATTTAGGACATTTTACGACCACATCAATACATGTTTAGAGGAGCATAGCTCTTCCAATCCTTTCCCTTCCACCTCCAGATTCACAGGCTTAGTCTCAGCAAGGCCTCCGGACTATCTCTGCACACGCACAGGCTCGTGTGGATCTGTTTCATAGCAACAAGTGAAGCAGGCCCGTGAAGCCATCTTTTACATTGCTGACCCTGCAGAGTATCCAGCATGGAGCAGGGACAAACTGCACTACGTTCACTTATTGTTTTATATACATATATGAATCACGACAAATGTAAAGTTACTTTACAGCAAACAATCGCTGTAGAAGAATTACCCAGCAGTTAGACAGACTGACGTACAATTATTACTATGGTGTTTGCATCACTAACATTCAGTTGCACAAGAAAGTCAGTGTGATGAAGGTGAAACATTCATCTTCTCATTTTACAGTTATGGTACCAAAACATGCGCAACAAAATGCAATCAGTCCAACCAGTTTCCAGACTCTGTGTTAAGACAATTCTTATGTATACTTTCAGCGTGCTTCAGTATCACTTTAAAGAAACCACATCACTTCCAAAGTGCAATACTGAGATGCTATTGAACTGTGGCTCCCCCAGAAAATGACGAGTGTGTTCTGAACCACCAATACACAGAAACATGCTACTTTGGCACTAAATCCCTGAGGACATGTGAGGACTACCTGGGAAAAAACGTGTCTGTTGAGCTGAAAACCACAAACACTATTACAAGAGTGAACATTTTTGGTGAGCAATATGCTTCAACAAAAACAAGGGAAAGCCACAGTAAACCAAGAACAGAACCATGACAAATAACATGATCTTGTTTCCTTACTGACACTGATCAAATGATGACACCGAACTCCAATCATGTGACTCAATAGACAGGTGACATTTCTAATGTTACAATAGCACGCTGCATTTCTGGAGGATTTGTTTACCGGTCATCTTAAGCACAAAAGGCCAACAACAAATTTCTCAACCTGACCCGATTCCTGTGTGTCAGGTTAACACTTTAAAAAATAAAAGCCACATTTTTAAAAGCTTAAGTTGCTCAATACAAAGCCCTAAAGTTTTCTGTATGCTTGGTTCCTTGGGTGTTTATTAGGTGTTATCTTAACAAACATGCTCATGCGTTACGGAAGCTTGCCCTAACAGTCACACTCAAAGTCAAGCAGTAAGGAAGGTAATCATTTCAATTAGTCTTAACTACAAATTTAGCCCCATGTCTAGTGTCCCGGTGCTGAAAAGTGTCTGGATGATTACTCCATGCATCTTTCAAAGGCCCAATATAGTCACACCAAAAAAAAAAAAAAAGATCTAGATCGTTGCCTCATGCTACAAACACAGACAAGAGAGATGCATCCACTTCATAAATGTATGAATTAATACCTATATGAGAAAATCAAACCAGAATTTAACCCAAGGTACAACTTGCTTCAAACTTTATGCCATACCTCCTCCTCTCCATCTTTCCGTTAACATCTTACCAGCTGCACTCTACTGACATGAGCTCTACCTGATCTCTACTATTTTTCTTCTGTAAAAATCTAATTTTAACATTTACAGACAAAATAACTATGTGTTGGATGAAACACACAGGAAAGCACAACTGTTTCACAGTGAAAACTGATTCAACTATTTCCTTGGCAGAGGACAAAATGAACAGTGAGGGTAAAACTTTGATTTCATTTTCTGATTTTGCCTGTACAGAAAGCCAACTGCACGAATGTGTGGCTAACGTTGAATTCAGACACTGTCCTCGATGACAGTGACCCTACTGTACTGCTGAATTGACTTTGGTGGATTGTTATTGCATCCATTCAGCTAACAAGTTGACACGTCAATCCAGAAAAACTGAAGTGCCTGATATCTTTAGCAACAGCATCATGAGTTGAGAAGGATGAAATGGAGAAAGGTTAAACAGTATGACAGTACAGGACATCTCATACTTACAATACATTTCTTTTTGAATAACGTGATAGCATGGGTACTGCACACGACGTCACCTTTGTGTCTTTATGCCTGAATTTGAGGAGAGATAACTGCTTTGACACCCTTAGGCCCCGAGCTGCGGTTAGCACAAGCTAGCAAGCTACTTAGCTAACTGGAGAGACAACATCTTAGCCACATAAACTCACCGGCCTCCTTCGGTTTAAATTGTTGGAAAATGGCTAGAAAGCGATCAGATAACAGTTACTTCCAGCTACCGATAACCACAAAGCTTGTCAGGCTACTCCGGTCTCTATTTGGTAGCACAGCGAGGTAAAGCTAGTTAGCTAACACACAGCAATAACAGCCAAATCAGTGGCATCACAGGCTAACTTGAACGCCTGGTTGCTAACGTTGGTTAGCTTCAGTTCCTGAGCGTGTGCTAACATATTTGCCGGAATACTACAGTAAGTTCAGATAAAGTTGACGATCATATAGCATTTCAGACGTAGCCGAGACAAGAGCGACACGTTAGGATTCTCTACGTATTGTGCACGTTTATCAGTGCCATCGCTGACTTCAAACGGTGCTCATCTCACCTTGTTGCTGTCATCCTCCTCGCCTGTAACAGTTATGTTTTGCTGCCATTGGCGCTGTCGCAGTTTGGTCAGGGTTGCCAGATAACGCGAGGGAAACAAGTAACCCAACTGTGAAAAGACACCGGGGTCACAGCACAGTTACAAACTTGATTTCTGCCTCCCGCTACTTTATCGGATGTTTTGTCAAGTATTTCCTGATGCCTCTCTTTGTGGCTTGTAACGACAGTCATTATCTCATACCTGTGTGAATATTGCCTCCTGAAACCAAGAGACATCTCCCAGAATACCAAGCTGTGCAAACAAGCAAGGAGAGACTTATCATAGATTACAACGGAAGTACATTCTATCATTTTATTAATAACGTGTGTTTAGTTTATTTTTGTTCTACTTTATTGTAAATTTAATATTTAATTTAAAAATATTTTTTATTACTCTTACATTTAGTTTTTTTTTTCAGTCAATCAGTTTTAAATATTCTTGAAAAATCTGTATGCACTTCCTTCACCTTATTTGTAGTTTTTAATTCATTCATTTTATTTTGTTCTGCTATATTTTATATCATCTTTTACATGTTTTTTAAACCTTTGCCTGCATAACACTTTGAACAGCCTCTGTGTATGATAAGGTGCAATACATATTTGTGAACAACCGTTAACATACACTTGTAAAGATCATGTTTATCATGAAGTCTTGAGTTTCCAATGACTACTACAACTCTTCATTTTCTATGACAAAATCATAGAGACACGTTTCTTTGTCATTAAAAACAATCACACGTTTTAGTCATAATAGAAACACGATAAATCTGCTGGGTCAAAAAATATACATACAGCAATGCTAATGTTTGGTTAACCCTAGTCAGGACTTTCATGTTGTCATACGTAGAAGGTCTTTCAGGGTCCACTGGAGCCCAGGAAAGAATATGTACAAAACATTTGTTGTGATTCATTATAGACTTTTATACTATGTTAAATACATTTTCTGATAGGTTGACATATTTTTCATTCCAAATGCATGACAAATGTCCCTCTTTTCATATTTTTAAAAAAAGTCTTCAAAATAAAAAATAATAATAAAAAAACAATACCTGTCACCTAAACCAAATGGTCTGGGGTCCAAAAGACCCCAAAACTCCTGAATAGGGTTAAATGGTCCTTGGCCATTTTTACCTCAACTAGATGCTTTTCGTAACCGCCCACAAGCTTCTGGCAAGTTTCTGGTTCTATCTTCGAACACTGTTCTCGACAGAATTGGTGCAGTTCAGCTAAATTTGTGGGTTTTCTTGCACAGACTTGATTCTTCAGCACAGTCAAGTTGTTGACAGGTTTATGTCAGGACTTCAGGGACGCCGGTCTAACCTGATTCAGCAATGTCTTTACCACTTTTGATATGTGTTTGCCACCATTTTCTTTTTGGAACACTTAACTGCGTCAAACACCCAACCTTCTGGCTTATGATTTGAGGTATTTCTTCTTTATTATTCCATTTACTTTGTATAAAGCACCAGTTGCACTGGCACCAAAACAGCCCAAGAGCATACTACCACCACCGCTGCACTTGACGGTTGGTCTGGTGCTCTTGGGGTTAAGGGCCTCACCCTCTCTCCTCCAAACATATTTCTGGTCCTTGTGGGCAAATAGCTCAATTTTTTGCTTCATCTGACCACAGCCCTTTCCTCATGAAGGTCTTCTTCCATGCGTTCAGCAGCAAAATTCAGTCAACCATTAAGATGCGACTTTTAGAGGAAGAGCTTCCTTCTTGCACGGCAGCATCTCAGCCCCTGGTGATGTAAAACAGACACTTCTAATTCATTGCAGATCAGTATTTTGGTGATTCTTGGTTGACTCTTGAGCGTCCCAGCCAATTGTCTCAGCAGCAGGTGAGAGTTTGTGTTTTCTTCCTGGTTGTGGCGTGACACCACTGTGTCATGCACTTTATACTTAGTTGTTTGCACAAATGATTTTAGGATCTGTAGCTGCTTGGAAATGGTTCCAATTGACTTTCCTGACTTGTTAAAGTCTGTGATTTGCTTTTTCAGATCTACGCTCAGCTCCTCAGCCCGTCCCATTGTGGCTGAGTTTAATGAGTGTATGACATGGGCTTTATTTAAATTGGCTCAGAGAAGTCAGCAGCCATAGTCAATCATTATCCCTCATGAGAAGTTAGGAGGGATTGATGCAGCTGTCTGCATCACCAAAACTGTATATTTTTGATCCAGTAGATTGTAATTTTTCCAGAAGACCTATAACAAAACTAGAAAAGAACGAAATGCAGGATTGATTTTGTGACAAAGACATGAGTTTAAAAGATTAAATCAGAAAATTACAAGCTACAGGAGTCACTGAGTACCCAAGCCTGTCATGATATACAGGGTCTTTACAAGTGCATATAAACTTTTCTTCACAATTGTAAATAAACTTGCTTTCTTGCCTCTTACGGAATAAACTGGGATGTAATTTCTTATAAAATAAACTCCGTGTAGTGTGCAAGCAGCACAGTCAGGGGCCAGTGATTTCTAAATGTGTGCTGCCATGGGGAAGCTTTGTGTCGTCATCCTAGATTTGAACTGTGACTTTCATGTGCACATTCTCCTCAGGTGTTCAGGCGAGCATCAAACTCTGAACTATTGTGTATCAATTTATGTGTAAGCAAGAGAAGAGACTATTAATCTGCCCGGGCCTCTCTGCCTTTGGACCCATGGATGCTGGAATAAACTTCAACTCCCCCTTGGCCCTTAAGAGGAATAAGGGAAAGAAAACAGAAATGAAAATGGGAAAATATGATGTCTTGTCATGTTTATTTTTCGGTAAGGCAGTGTTCTACTTGGACAAAACAGTAACAGATTTTCGAGAGGAATCCGCTAGTGTAACATGGATGTAACTCTGAAACAATAAAAAAAAGGATTATTAAAAAAAAAGAGAACTGAAGAAGAATAATAACCAACATGAATACATGTTACAGTGTACAAATAGCTGCGAATATAAATACAAATTCTTGGACATTTGTTCGATATTACGCTATAAAAAACTACATCATCTGACAGTTTAACCTCAGAACAAACATTATATTCACAAGATAATGATAAAAGGTGAAAATACCAAGTTAATCTTTTGACATATCATTTCAATTCCAAACCAAATCAAACTACTTGTTCATTCTGCAAGCTTACAGTAATGCAACTGTGGAGTGTATCATCAAAGAATTTTACACTTCACAGGCAGTGGTTGGAAAACGAGACAAGAAAAAAAAAAAAATACAACAGAAAAGGCCAGATTGGTTTGTTAGGGCAGAATAAAACATCAAGTCTGAGATTCCTCTATACTTCAAGCTTCTTTTTTTTTTTCTTCAATTTGGTTTCCTTTACCATTTTATAGATATTTCACTGCTTTGAAGTCTTATGTAAAAGGTTTTCACACACACAGCGATTCTGCGCGTGAAATGTGTTACACAGATAAAGCAGCTTTGCCTTGCAAAGCTATCTACAGTATGTAAATGAAAGAGCAGCTGACGTAAAAATGCAAGAACTATCAGTCCATCTGTACATTTTCTATACCTGCTTATCCTGTTCTGGGTTAGTGGGTAGAACTAGCAGTTAGATATGTGGAGCTATAAATTGTAGCAGCTAAATGCATTTAAATAAACCCCATAAAGATGTCAAGAGACGTGTTTTTACAATGTGGATTCTCCGTGAATTGAGATACTACCCTCCTAAATACTCCTCTCTTGTTGTTTTCTAAACCCATTCCAGCCTGAAATTAGGTAAAACAATAAAACTATGACATTGAGCATCATGACAGACTAACATAAACCTTACTGGAGCAAAGAGAGCTTGTTCAAAAGCTGTAAACACAAACATAAGCCGGCATTTAAAGCATGAGCACTCATGTGTTTAGAGGCAATTGGCAAAGTAAGCAGGACTGGGTCAGCCTTGTTTGGCTGTACAATGGAAACCAGGCTGATGAATACCAACTGAACAAAGTGTGGCATTACTGTTTAGACCTGGATATCGAGGCTACACGTGGGTATAAACATTCTAGTAAAATTCAGACAGCTTAATGAGATAAATGTGTGAGCATTTCCACTGCAAATGAAACAATTACTCCTTTAAATAGCATTGATGGACAAACAGTTATGTAGGCTGTGTGAAGTAAGCAATTGTGTGCAAATGCAGATAATCTGATTTTTGAGCGTTGTACTTGACGTGATGTGATGTCACAGACTCTACTTTTCAGAATAATTTCAAATGCAGTTCCACTTTCTATCACAGTGTACAACATTTCAAAGGAATCAGTTGTGCAAGTGAAAATTAAGCAACAATTACTCCTTTGGATGAACTTAAAAGCACTCATTGGCACATCGACATGTGATCTTCTCAACAGTGTGACCGAGAGCCTTTTAATTAAAGGTTGCCTCAGGAAGATTGGTACAGGTCACGGGGCAAACCGTATCTCTGGGTGTTCTTCCTTCACCGAGGATGGTCATTTCATCTTCAGACACCCCTGTGTTCAGAGGACTCCCAGTGTGGGATACACCTTCCCTGTTAGCCGCAGACCTGCTTTTTCCACACTGATTAAAGGACTGCAAATTAGTGGCAGCCTTACAAAAACCATCAGTGTCAGCATCATCGGATACCTCCTCCATCATTCCAGAATAAACAAAGGTGCTATGAGGTACACATGAATCCGACTGCGCAGGAAGGTGACACTGTCTATTGTAAAGCTCTGCATTCTGTGAAATTAAATCACAGGACACTCTGTCAGACGCATTAGAGCAAAGACGCTGTGATTTACCAGTAGGAACATCACTGCTCGATGAGCTAGAAAACATTTTGTGTTTTACTTGGGTTTGACTGAGACTCTGTACGTTTTCAGTGATTTCCTCATCTGTCAGAGAAAGGCTTAAAGCCATTTCTGACCTTGTTTGCCATGATAAGGCCATAATGCTGTTACTGTCTCTAAGCTCTGATGCAGACACGACTACATTCTTTTGATAATATGGTGAGGAATCTCTCTCCGAGACCTTTTCAGTTTGAGGACAAGAAACGATAGCAGCTCTGTTCTCTCGGTACGTGTCAGGCATCTTCAACTCAAGGCTTTCTGTGTCCAGAGACCTACTTCTCCTGTCTAGAGACAATGGATTAGGCATGGACTGACTGACTCTTGTAAGGCCTAGGTGCCGTGGGAGACTAGCAACCGCCCAAGTGTTACTGATCATGTTCTGTTCATACAGATCTAACATCTGATAATCACATTCCGCGAATGCATCTTTTTGTAGATAGCTTTCTTCAAATTCCTGATAGGGTGATGAAATGTCCTCCTCCAGCTCCATGTGAATCTGCTCATCGTATTCACCCTCATTATGCATATCCACCACATCAAACGTGACGATAGTAGGTAAGGCCTCCATGTTTGGAGTGAAGGCAGAGTTTGTCTCCAAATCATCCACATTGTTGTGCAAGTTACTCAGCATCTGAGTGTGTTTGGTGTAGTCCACAAGCGCTTGTGAGAAACACACAGTCTGCCCATCATCCAAGTCATTGTTACAGTCTTGGGACTGAGAACTGATATTTCTGTATGGTAAAGCCACAGGCTTGTTTTCCTCAAGATGTTCCTCTTTGGGTTCACAGAATGTTTCAAAGTCTGGATCAGATGTGCTTCCGAATGATAAGCTGCTGTGCCTTTTCTCACACTCAGCATTCATAGATTTTGTTCTTTTTTCAGTGGAAGCAAGCACATTTTCCTTTTCGTCGTACACATCTGGTTCTGCATTGTTAACGTTGACTGATGCTTGGGTTTTTAAATTTAAATTACAGTTTTTATTCACACCAATTTCCTGCCGACCCACCACATTTTGTGCCAACTCCGAGGATTTACTGCATGCACTTGGCATCTCTAGGAAATCACGAACTTCATACAATTCAGGGCTTATTTGTAATCGATTCATTTCTGGAACAAATGCAGAATCGCTCACATCAACTGGCTCACTTAAATAGTCGCACTGCTTTGAACTGGAAAGTTTTGCTTTGTTTTCATAATGTGGACTGATGAGACTCTCGTCAGGTGCAAAAAGCTCATAGAGGGCATCACCGCTGTAACTGTCCCTGGGCAATCTGCCTGTCCTCAGCCTGTCACTTTTCTCTTGCCCTTCCTCTGGCCCCGGGGTGGTTGAATCATAGTAGCCCTCATCACTGTTCGGAACCGATTCTTGGTGCTCACTTTGAGGAGTTAAGACATCAGCAATTGAAGAAGTGTCCATGCCACCAGCCTGCTGTGCACTACTGCTGTTAAGTAAGTCCATATTGTGAGAACTCGTCAGTTCTGCAGTCATGTCTGTGTGGTCTTGATTGCAAGTGCAGCAGATTTCCTCTGAAGGGTTATTTCCCCAGAAATCCTGGAGACAAGTTTCATCCAGATCTTCAGGTGAGGCCATTTCTTCACCACCACCCTGATAAGTAAGATAACAAGAGGCCCTCTTTCCTCCATTTCTGCTCCTTTCTCCTGAAACCGTGCTCTCCGTGATGCTGTCGTCTTCTTGATCTGCAATAATGTCCCCACAGCCAGTGAGGGAGTCAAAGCTCTTCAATGATGCAACATCTCCAAAAATCAAGTTCAGCTGATCAGACGAACCTGCGGGTGTTTCAGACTTCAATACGGGATCAGACATCATGTGAAGTTTCAGACAAGGCTCGCTGTGTCCTCTGGGAGGCTCCTCGTATTCACCGGAAACAGCCATCAGATTCATTTCCTCCAGTTGATCGTCGCACACCTGATCACCAGGCTCAGATTTTGGACTTTCTTTCTCGACGCTGTTCTCTAATGCATCCACATCACTACATTCAGGACCAATGGAAATATCGCATATAACATCTGCAAAATCAGGCACATCAGGTTCAGATCCCAGGCACTCCGTGACATACTGCTTGGTGTTGTCCTGGACAACAGGCACCTCTTTCTTGCAATGAGGAGAGGACATTGCAATCATTTCAGTCTTATCCAATCCAACATTTCTATGGTTTCTGTGATGCTTAAAACTGTGAAAAAGACCCCTCAAACCCTTTCTCTGCCGACCAAGAGTCAGTGATTTCTGGTCAGCAGAGGGGTGACTACATTCATTGTGGCAGCTACTGTGGAGCTCTCCAGCAGCATCCCTCTGTCTGTGGTACACACAATTTCCAGCGGAGGCGTACCCGCTTCTTAGATTGTCGTCATGACCAACCTTACTTAACCCATCGTGCGTTCTGCTTTTGCTGATTCCTTTCTTAGAGGACCACTTGCTTGGATTTTTACTCCTCCCTCCGAAAAAGCTCGGTAAAATGCAGATACTTTTACGAACTCCAAAAAAAGTCAGAGCAGTCCTCCTGAATTTTCCAGATTTTTGAGATTTCACTGTTGCATTCATCGTATCTGGCTGAAGCTCCTCCGCGGCGGCATCAGGGCCACATCGGGAAAGCTGTTCAGCTGCTGAAGGTAAATCCTTGGTGTCACTTGGTAGCTCATCTACCCTGCGAGAAGCCATGGCGACTACAGTTACAAAAGCAAGAGTCTAACAGAAGGCATACTAGATGAAGTTTAAAAATCAGTCGATGAGATGGCTGCAATGAGCTTCCTCTCCATCTGATGTGAGCCCTGTATTGAGAAAGTTGAGACCACAGTCAGTTAAAATTTAACACTGGGTACACCGATATGAGACAAGCACAGTAGAAACATATAACATTTATATCAGTGTCTTCTTGTGACTTACAAAGATTACACCTGTGAAAGGTAAACATTGTGTAGTTGTGTCTCATTCATTGTGTTATATCACTGTTTATTTTACTCTTAATATTTAAGATATATAATATACTGCATGTACAATCGTTTTGGTGTATTCCATGGTCCAAGTTTGTCTTTATGCATTTGTTTCCCTTATTTGTATATTATGCATTCCTGGAGCTCGAGCACATTTAACTTTCCTTTTCATTTTCATTTTCATTTTCAGCAGACTGATACAGACTTTGAAAGCTGACAGCATATGTGACTCCATTCACAGTACACAATAGATACAGCTGCTAGTTTCACACTTCTGGCTGTAGCACAGAGTCAGCGGTTATTCCTGAGGTGTGCCGAGCACAGTGGGCCGATATACCACAGGAATTCTCTAGAATTTAGAGTTTCCCACTGTGTTTGGGTACTGCAAATGTACATGCAAAGTAGAGTAAAGTAGTGATAGTATTGTGATGCTATTTTGACAAGGAATCTGGTTAATAGTGGCAATAAAACAAAATAAAGTTCTGCATGCCATCTGTAAAACCAGTACATTTAAATTTAAGGCCTATAGAAGGTACAAAAGACATAGATTAACCTTCAACAGATTTTTTTTCTTCTCTTATATCCTACACTCATACTGAATCTATCACCTTAGTTTTAAAACAGGCGTTTTGGTGCTTTATGTATATTGTGCAACTATGTTGTCAATAACATTGGTATTAGTAAGAAAAAAATGAAATCACAGCATAACTGCTGTCTTATTGTAATTATATGCAAACTTTTGTGCATGTAAGCAGAAGACACAAACAAGTACAAATGTCCAGTGCATTTATGTTACCAATGCAATAACCAGCACAGGTCACTAAATGTTAAAAACAACATAAAACCTGTGTTAATTTTAATGGAAAAGCCCAAGGACAAAGGAAGAGGCTGTATATCGTCACCTTCCTAAAATACTGGCCTAAGTCAAATGATTTGTTGTTTGTTGTTGCCGAAATCATCTTGTTGTGATGCTGGCCACCTCTGGTAAAATCGCCGACATCCTCGGTTGAACAGACTATGTGATTTTACCCCTGTAGAGTGTTTTATTTTTCATCCATCCATCTACTATCTATACACCACTTAATCCTCACTAGGGTCGCAGGGGGGCTGGAGTCTATCCCAGTTGACTCAGGGCGAAGGCAGGGGACACCTTGAACAGGTCACCAGCCTATTACAGGGCTTAGAAACAGACAGTCATATTCACCCCTACGGACAATTTAGAATCACCAATTAACCTCAACATGTTTTTGGACTGTGGGAGGAAGCCAGAGAACCCGGAGAGCCCACGCTGCACGGGGAGAACATGCTAACTCCACACAGAAAGATCCCAGGTATCCTCACCGGGACGCGAACCGATGACCTTCTTGTTGCGAGGCAACAGTGCTAACCACTGAGCCCCCATTTAATTTTGCCTAAGTAAAAAGACAATGTGACTTTGGCAATTTTTACAAGCTTTTCAAGATGGCGGCTGCTTCAAGAAGAATAAAAATCTACCTACCTAACGGAGTTTATTTTTGATGATGATTTTTTTCATGATTCAGTGATGAGGTTTACTATAATACTGGCTGAGCCATAAATATTGCGTTGTTACTTAGTCAGCAAACTAGCTGAAAAGTCCATGAAGCTAGCATTTAGCAAAGAGTGGAAAGGCTCCAAAATCTGTGGCTGCTACACGTTATATGCTTTCTGTTCACTTTCATCTACTGTTTTAGTCTCATTTTTCCAACATTACATGATCTTATTAAGAAAGATTTGAATACTGTGTAATCTAACAGCTACAAATTACGTGTATAACTAAAAAACTACAAAGGATCCTCTTTACTTTTGTGTTTTTATTAAATGAAAATCTCACTTGAACATAATATTAGTAATCATAACATCATTTGACCTCTATTATCCTTGATGCAGCTTAATACAAGTGACCACAAGGCAATGAGTGTCTTTCAGAATAATCACACATCTGTGAGCATAAACCTCAAAGGGTTGAAATGTTTTTCCTTTCTAGTAGGAGATTTACTTGACTTTATTTCTCTTACGTGACATAATTTGCCACGTAATTTGACATAATACATTATTAGTACTGTCATAACCTTTTCGAGTGACATGATTAATAAATGTCGTATATTCAATATTGGGTCCAGTTTTGGTGTTTTCTGAAAAATCTGGAAAAACAGACTGATCCATTATTTCTAGAAGGTGTCGATGTGTTACTCTGGTTTCATTTGCTCTGCCACGATAACGAGTGATGTGGGTCAAAACAATGACTCAATGTTTTACTGTACAAAGGAAATATGAAAGAGCTGCTTCGTGCAAAAATCATTTCTAAGAACAGACTTGCACAAAGAGCGGAGTTTCCGTGTAAAAGCAACTTTACCACAGCCCCACCACGGAGCTAACTGAGTCATGAGGTAAACAAACTTACCGACTAAAAAGGTAAATTCCTGTCGCACGGACCTTGGTGTTGGGTTTCTCGAACAGCAGACCAAGTTAGCCTCTCAGCGCACGCTTTCTGCTAACGCTAACTTTGGGGGGGTAACAGCAGTTGGCTTGTGGTCGACTCTGGGCCCCCGGAGCAGCTTCACCCAGATACGGTTTCATTTGTGTGCAGCTCCCGTTAGCTAGCCGCGGTGCTGCTAACAACACAGTCAGCAGTGTGTCCCTGCAGTTAGTGAGAGTCTGACAGCTGCTAGCGGCGGCTACGTTAAAACACTCCGCTGCTAAAAAAATAAAAATAAAAATAAAAAATGCATGGGGAAAAATACGCAAAGCAGCCGAGCCGGGATCACATTATTGTGTCTGGTTTAGCCACGCATGCTGAATTCACTTCAGGTGTTAACACACACACACACACAAAAAGCCAGCATTTAAACGCTGGATGATGACTTCCTCTCCCGACTTCTGGGCTGATTTTCCCAAATCTCCTTTCTGCTCCCGTCGGCGCATGTTAGTGACGTAACGTGTGTGGAAAGCGTAGCGTAAAAGCATGCGTAAAACAAACAACACACACACACACACCTACACACACACACACACACTTACACACACACACGCACACATAATAAATTACTAAATAAAAAGACAAATACATATAAATTGTATATGCACTAAACAAATGGGAGAAGGACATTTTCTTCTTTTAAATATATGCCCATTGTAAATCAATCTATCTCATCTGTTTTAACCTCTTCAACGTCACATTTTGGGTTATCTTACCACAGTAGTCATATATGTTTTAAGATTTTATCATTATTTTTATTCATTTATTTATTTCTATTTTTTGTATATCAAATTTTATTTATTTTAAAACTATATATATATATATATATATTTTAAATAAAAATAAAAAATGCATATCAAACAAGAGTTCAGGTCTTAAGAGGTTAAACACTAAAGCTGTGACAGTTAATTCATTCTCTGTCAACCATTAAATTAATCACTTTTTTGATAATTAACAAGTGTGAATAATTTCCTATAACAAAAACATCATCCCCCCCCTTAATATTTTTAAAACTTAATATTTTCTGTTTTCTTTCATTCTCTTTGACAGTAAACTGATTATCTTTGAGTTGTGGACAAAAACGATACATTTGAGGATGTCATCTTGGACTTTGGGAAATATTGATCAACATGTTCTCACCATTTTCTGAAAATTTTAGGACCAAACAGCAAATAGATGAATCTGACTACTCTCTGTTGCTGACACAGCGCTGTGCTCAATGGTCTGACTGCACCTCATTATCATTCTGCTATAGGAGAAATAAATGGTTTGTTTGTGTTCCTATAAATCTATCACAGTTGTCTTGGGCAGTGCTAAGCTCAGAGTTACGTGATGGTGACAGATAAAAGTAGCAACTGGGAAAATTGTTTGGATGGAGCATTTGCTAATTTACAAGTTGGAACGAAACCAGTATGGCTGCCTTATTGCACAATCCATGGTGTAAATTCTCTGCAAAACTTGAAATTTCCTGTGTGGTTGGTTGCTAGCCCAAAGGTTGTTGCTGCTGTTTTCTGTAGCAATGGAGGAACTACAAAATGATAACAAGCAAAAAGCAGACTGGGGCAAGAAAGCCATGAAAAATAAGCACCCACGATTTACATTACTGAGAAAGTAGTCAACAGATCATTTGACAATAGAAATGATTGTTAGTTGCAGCCCTATTCCACACAACAGTACCTTAATGAAGTGTCTTTTTCATCTTCCTAGCTGTAGCAGAAACATTAACCGATTGGTGTAGAAACTCTGGCAAACACAGACAGAGAGTGCAGACTGAGCAAAATGTTGGTATTATGAGAAATGAGAGATCATAATGAGGAAGACAAATATTTTAAAAAAAGTAATTTTATCATTAAAAAAATCTTCTTCACAGTCATATTATTTTACATACATTTACAGCGACGTCTTTTATTTTACAGTAAAGCAATATGATGCCATTTTCAAGATTTGGTAGATCCTTATGCTACAGTAATCATGTGAACAGTGCATGATCAGGCAGTATTTACAGTTCCCCTCTACTGAGAGTTAACTTAGTTGTAACAGTGCAATTTTGTGTTTACTCTATGCAGAAGAGCATAAAACCTCTTATTACTCTAGTAATTTTATTTCAATACTGTTTTTCAAATAAAGCCTAATTGCTGGTTTTGTTATTGGTCCTTATGTAGCTGAGTGTTCCTGATTTTTTTTATTATATTTTTTTCCCATCATGAATCGTCCAGTCATGTTTTTGACTGCCGGTTGTCTGTCCACTCCATTTTGGTGTTTAGAAGTGCCTGAGTCTTCTTCTCATCCACCTGCACATAATCCACTCTGTGCTCATCAGACAGGAACGGCTTCTGCTGGACACACAGAAGGGCGAGAGGAGGAGACAATAATGCGATGAGGTGAAGTTTTTAAAAGGGTTTCCAAAATGAACATGCTCCTGCTTCACCTCTACACACAATCAGTCACGTTTAACTCATTCTGCTATTCATCCTCGTGACTGCACTGTCGAAATCCTGATGTGCAAATCTTGAGGATCGTATATTTTTCATTACAAGTGTCGTGAACAAAAACATTAAATCCCACTGTTCTTGCATCAATTAATTCAAAGAGTAAGAGGGTTCATTCATGTCTCTTATCTAATCAAAGCATACCTTCTGCACAGGAGAGGGGGGTGCGGAATTGAAATCCAGTGACAAATAGTCAAGGTTTGGATTTCTCAACCAAGGCTGAACTGCTCCATCAAAGGTGAGACAGAACTGTTGCCTTGATTCCTGTCAGACAAAGAAATAGATGAGGACCTTGCATACACGTGACGGCGCCCATCTAAAAGGAAAGCTTCACTGGTGTCTCATTTACATTCAATACTTAACTACATAGAGAAGAAGAGGCCTGTTTTCATTTTCAGATTGACTTTAGGAACACACACACATCTAGAGACACAATGCATGATTAATACGCTTTGCTCTAAGCTGTAAAATGGTGTAGATATGAGCGATTTCCAAAGCAAAACAACCTAATCTCCTTGTTACAAATGTGCAATTACAGATAACTGAGGAGGACATTGTAGAAGTATGTAGTCACTTTCCACACCCACATCATGAACTATGTGAGATCTGAGCACATTTTTCCACTCACAAATCATCCTAGAATTGAGAGTGTTCGATTTTGTTCCTTTTTTAATGTTCTTTAAGAGCTCAGTAAAGCAAAAACATAGCAGAACGAAGTCACGTTGTTGTTACATACTGTTAAAGTTTAACACTAATTCAGCTATTTCTCCACACATGATTAGTATTAAATATATCCGCCCAAACACTCCAGTATAATTAGAATATAAAGACACATAGATTTACATCAAATTCCATGTTGGTTTGTTTTGTTTTTCTTAGAACCAGTTATAAGTGGAGAAATCAGATGCTGATACAAGCTACATGACAAACGGAGGTAAAATAAAGAGCTACACGAGGAGCATGCATTGACATCAGAGCTACTTTCAGTGATCAGTTATTAACAATAACGTTCAGGTCCTTTACCAAAGCTGGAGAAAATTAGATTCAGCTTCTTTTTATGCCGCTAAACCCAAATCAGATGACACATCTCTCTTACGTGGGCAAAGATTATAGTAGTTATTATTAAATGGGCACCACTGAGTCACAGTCTGTACGCTAGATATATATTGTTTGAAAAAATGTGTTTTTCACTGCATGGAAATTTTTACCATTGCAGACGAGGTTGTGACTTCATCTCTTGATTTGTCCCCATTTTCGAGTCTTCGTTCAAGAGGTGAACAGTTCTTGGAAAAGCTGCCGTCGCACAATAAAGAAAAAAACATTTTGAAAAAGGGGAGGAATTTAAGTTAGATTGCAAAACAGGTTATACGAACAGAAATAGACAAAATACAACAGCAAAGTATTGTGTCATCAAAATTTGCTTTATCCCATCATCAGCCAAAGATATATATAAAAAAGAGCTTTAATTAGATCTACTAACGGGCAGTCAGATAAGAAAATACATGACTCGAAACTGCTGTCACTCGCACTTCCAGGCAACATCTAAATCTGACTTACTGACGTTTTTTGTCATGATTGAGAAGATTAAATCTGCAGTGTTTGTATACACGGCTGTATAGCACAGAGCTCTCTATATATATTTGATTTAGCGCTTTAAATATAAAGAATATGCTGAATTTTGCTCAAATCTACAAAAAAATTAATACGTTAGTGATGTGGTCAGCCACATTTATGTGCTCTGCGTAAAGGTTCATAGATAAAGAGACTTTGTTTCATCTCACCATGATTCGGTCATGGCCCTGCTCAGAGGCAGATGAGTGGGACATTCTGTGATTGTAGAAAGGCCTCTCAAGTCAAGAGGTGGGGGTCGAGCTGTGAACAGGGAAAGGACAAGGGTTACAAGATGCGGTTGTGACTCTGTAATGTGACACGGAAAAGCTCGTTCACAGGGAGAAAAGATCAAAACTATCTGTATTTGACATCTGCATTAATTCTGTACTGACATTTTTCGTGAGTAAGCACGTGACAGTGTGGGAGCATGTGATCAAAGTCACAACCAGTTTCAGGTATGTTTTACATGCAGACCTTGTTTCAAGTTCACAGACACTGAAAAAAAAAAAATCTACCAACCTCCAGCCAGAATGAAATTATAGCTCAGTTTATCACAAAATGCCAAACATCCATCCATCCACCGTCTATACCATAGACTGTATAAAAGATGGACGTAGCAACTGGCCCTGAAAAATGAAGCCAACCCGGAAGAGTCAAAAACCTGCAACATCACTACGTCCGCTAGCTGCTGGCTCCAAAAAGCCCTGGCTCCCATAGACTTGAATTGGAAAAGAAGTGATCACAGATCACGAAATACCGCATTCCTACAGCTCAGGATTTTTTTCTTATTAGTTTTCATAGTCAAATCCAGAGATCAGTCAATCCATCTGACCAATTGCTGCTCCTATGGCTCCGCCCCCCTCTGACGATTTTTGCGTCACTGGCTCCAAAAATCCAAAATGTCAACCAGGAAGCAGCAAAACCCTGGCTTCATTTTCTCAGTGCAGAAACCAACGAGTGACGTCACGGTAGCTACGTCCATCTTTTATACAGTCTATGATCTATACACCGCTTAATCCTCACTCGGGTCACGGGGAAGGCTGGAGTCTATCCCAGCTGACTTAGGGTGAAGGCAGGGGACACCCTGAACAGATCACCAGTCTATCACAGGGCTACACTTAGAGACAGACAACCAAGCACACTCACATTCACACCTACGGACAATTTAGAATCACCAATTAACCTCAACATGTTTTTGGACTTGTGAGAGGAAGCCAGAGAACCTGGAAGGAATCCACGTTGCACGGGGAGAACATGCAAACTCCACACAGCGACCTTCTTGCTGCGAAGCAACGGTGCTAACCACTGCTCACCTTGCAGCCCATGCCAAACATTTAAATCATTAATCGTGGTCTGGAATGACTCTCACCTCTCCTCAAGCTGGGCTTAAGGTGCCGGTGGATTGGAGGTGGCGCGAGATCTCCAGGTGGACACAACAGCTGGCTGAGAGACGGGGAGGAGTCCACGCCGCAGTTTGGGGTGAGGAAGCTGAATGCCATGGGGCTCATGGGGATGTAACCATCACATTCGATAGCAGCAAGAGAGGGGGACGGGGACGCCATGGGGACGTATGACTCATCCTGGTAGCTTTGAACTTGTGTGGTATTTAAACAAGGCTGCCAAAAGACAAGGCATCATGAGATCAGGAAAAGTGCACGACACTGTCTTTGTAGTACAGGTGGAACCTTTGTGAATGCCACTGTGTGCATGGATTAGAGCATCTTTTAAAATCTTGTGTTTTTATTTAGAGAAATGATGCTCCCTCTTAAAGAAAATAAAGTTGATTCAATGCTAAAGTTTTTTTGCCAAGTTAGGTGTGAACACTGACGCCACTCTCGTGTCTGTGCGGTAAATACAAACTTAAGGGAAGCAGCGAGTTAGCTTAGCTTAGCACAGAGACAGAAACCAGGGGGAAGGAGCTTCAGCCAGGCTAGCCGTTTTCCTCGGTTTCTACTTGTTATGCTAAGCTAAGCTAACCCACAGCTTGTTTAAGATTCCTGATTACCTGAGTGTGTTATCAAACCTCTCAACTCTCAGCAAGAAAGCAAAACGTCCAAATAAATTGTGAAATGCTGCTGATGATCCTCTTACCAAATTGACACTTTGCCTCCTGTTCCTCATCAGTCTGCTGTCAGCGTCTCCTAAAAAACAGAATGGAATTTTTTTTTTTTAAATGACATTTGGTAATTAATCCATATGCAGCCTTATGTTACCCTGGTAAAAAATAAAATCCCTTAAAAACTGAAAAAATCACATTCAAAACCTGTAACAGCTGTGATAATAATAGAAATATATGTAAAATAATTACATATTTTTGAGCTGAGTTAAATACAGTAAAACAACGTCATTTTATGGTTACACATTGACATGAATGAATTATTATTTGTATAAAAATATTATTTTTGATGTGGACATCATGTACAGTTTTTTATTTGTGTGTTTGCATTATTTTTTTTGCAGTCAACTTGACAAACAATGTTTTTTTTTCTGTGATTTTACAAGATATTATCTGTAATTTGACAAAACAGTTCAAATGTTCGCCATCTTTACAATTTTTTTAATGTACAGCCTTTTTTCTTTAAATTAATGGCAAATACCAGTAAAATAAGATTTTCTGATGAGTTAAATAAAAACAAAAACGGTGTGATTTTTTGTCAAAAATTTAAAAAAAAAATAAAATAAAAAAATTACCATTTGTAGACAATATTTGTAGTTTTTTTTCCTGTAATAGTTTTTTGCTGTGATCTACCAGATGTTATCTGTAATTTTACAGAAACAGGGAAAATCTATAAAATAAAAGTACATTGTTTAAATTAAACACTACAAAACTTTTATTTTGTCATTATATATAGAATTTGTATATGTTTCATTATGTATGTTATTTTTTCATTATATGTAAATAAACTTTTGTTTTATTTTAATTAAAATTTTTACAGTGTAATAAAATTATAAAAATAAGAAATAAATAAATAAAAAATATTATAATGAAAATGATCTTAATCGCACCAGATTTATGTTTCATCTTGGTGGTTGCAGCTTTGTCAGCTTCTGCTCGGAGCTTTACTTTCACACTGAGAACTTACCTATTCTGAAATGGTCCAGGCTGGACAACGAGGTCCTCCGGGGAAATAATGCAGCGCTGCTTGAGAAATGCTGTGTACTCATTGCCCTCAGCCTGTGAGCTGCTTCATCACTTAGCTGCTCTGACAGGTGATTAGGCTTGGGTGGCAGTGGAGGAGGTGTTTGTTTATCGGCCGTTGCCTCAAATGACGCGGAAGAATAGGGTTTGTCAAACTGGAAGACACTTGTGGCGCAGTGACGCAGCGGAGAGGAAGAGGATGACGGCAAAGCTATCGGGATGCACGGAGCGCTGAAGGGAGGGTTAGTCAACCTCCCACTGGGGAAAAGACACGGACTGGGACTGACATGAGAGATGGAGGATGAGGAGCAGTCAGTGGAAATGTCCTTGACAGCATCGTCTGATGACTTCTGCTCCAGAGAGATGTCAGAGTTTGAAAAGCTGTCATGTCTACGGATATGGAAAAAATGAAAACATGTTAATCAAATATGAGCGATCATTTCAACTCGCGTCAGCACTTTTGCAGACTGTACATACCTACTAGTGCTCACACTCCCCGTCTCACACTGCGAGAGAAAGAGGTAGTCCAGCGGATGAGTGGAATCTGGTTGACTTGCTACAGACGCTCGGTCAGGGCTGTCAGGTGACAGCTGTAGGGAGGTGGGGGTCTGAGGAAAGCCTTCTTCTGAACTCTCTGTTGAAAAGAAGCAAAGACAAACAGAGAGAATGTACTTCTGAAATGTCACAACCGCTAAGGAGTGAAGAGAAACTGCAGTCATGCTGACAACTCGATGGTTTCTCCCAGCCTGTACTCACTTCATATAAACAGAGTAGGTGAATTTGAAAAGAGGAAAGGTGTTTTTTTTTTTTCTTTACAGGTTTGTTGAAAGTAGACACATGCAAGCCCTGTTCCCTCTTTTGTTGATATATTCTCTTCACTCTTTTAGTCCGTTTGGCCCTCGCTCAGAAATTTGTTTCATTCCATTTCACTCAAGGCCACGGAGTCAAGGCCGTCCCTGCTGAACCGTGTGGTGAAAAACGAAAATCCAAAAAGTCTTTGCGAGTTCGCATGAAACATTTGCTTCCCCTAATAGATGTTTATGTTCTCTTGTGGGCGCAGAACAACCTTTTATATTCCTTTGCAAAAGTTATGAGGTGCTGCCTCACAGAACTCTTGAGATCCAGGAAGGATCCACTGCTGCTGTCCTACATTCTCAGAAAAAGCAACACATCTGCAACACAACAGCAGTAATCTGTGTGTGGAATATCATTTTACACTGTAACTTGCTACTTGTGCGTGTTTTTCTGACTGCATATGTGCTTTGCAGTAACATGCAGAGCAGGATATCAGCAGCTTTGTGCCGTTGCTCTATCTCCTCCATGCAGATGACAGTGTTGTAACAGACCAGTCATAAAGTCCCGACACAAAATATCCCTTTTCTGCTTTCATTTGAAGCAACAGTAAAGCAGCACTATCGCCCTGGCAGCAGACAGTAGAGTGATAGTGAAAATTCAGACATTAAAAGCAATAAAAGTAATACTTGACGAGATCCAAGACAAATCGACTCCCAAAACAGGGAGCCAATACAAAAACACTCATTGTTTATCTGTTCATTTACATGCGATGTTAACTGCGGGGCTTCCTGTTGATCTACTGCTATCTCCTCTGATATCACAGCTGCACATGACGAGTAACACGTAGACTACAACGTTTTTAAATGTCAGAAACACTGGGTGCACACAGACGACGCTTGAATTTCCGATTAAATGTGAGATGACCTTTTGTATTCTAGTAATTAGACCATTTACGCTGCATGACCAAAGGATTTGTCTGAATTTATTTCTGTTGTGTGAAGAAAATGCCGTAAAAATATTAGCAGATTTTTTTTTTTCACACGGACTGTTTATAAAAGATGGACACAGCCTCCAAGTCTAAGAAGTGAAGCAAACGCATAAGTGCTACAAACCTGCATTCTTTCTAACAGCCACCAGGGGGCAACGCCTCTGGTAGCAAAAAGAAATCCAACTGTATGTGAAAATCGATGAGAAAATGCCCCTACTTCTCACTTCATTTATTACCCTTGTGAATATTTACCGAATAAGTGTATGGTCTCAATTGCTAGTTTCAAGTCTCCTTCAATACAGCATGATGCTCATTTAGTAAATTATTGTACCATTAGAGTAAAATAAACAATACAGCCAAATTCCAAATGCAAGACTTCCAAATGATAGTCCACAGACCAGTGAGTGCAATCACCTTGTCTACATTCATCGTTTATATACAGTTGATGACGATTTCTAATACATGTCAGCTTATGTGGAATTTGTAAATTATTTGGATTTTCTATCCATTGGATTGCATATGGACGTATGCATGAGATCATATGGGTTTTTTTTTTTTTAAAATTCACCTTTGTGTGGTAAAAGATCAGTCGGGTGGTTTGCTACAGTCATCAGCAAATTGTGTTGGGAAATTAACAAAGTATGACCTCAACTCTTAGCGCAATTACCAGGGCACTGGATTTGTTTAGTGCAAACGTCATCCTATGTGGTTCATTCTCCACCTGATGTACATTCATCCGGTGTAGTTTCGGTATGACTTGTTTGTTTGCATCATCCACACCCAATGCTGCCACCTTATTCTCCATATTTCGCTGATATGACGATGCATTGTTTTTTTTTTTTTTGCTGATTTTCTTAATAAAATGTTAATATCAGATACATTTCAGATTTTTTTGGTTTGTTTTTGTTAAATTGCTACAATATTTACTTGCTGTTGTTGCTGTTGCTTGTGCTAATTCTGTGAAAAGTGAACCATGTATGATTGGAATCAAGTGGTTGAAACCACAGTTTGAGGACATGTTTGTGTGTGGCTCTAGGAGCTCAGTTAAAAAGACAATTATCAGCCTGTCTGATCGACCTTAAAGGGCCACAGCTATGTGGAGAGCACACTGTGTTCAGCTGTTTATTTCTATATGTTTTCTGGCTAATCCTATGTTTTTGAAGTCCACTACTACAACTTCAAGTGCTGATCATTCAGGTGCAGTGTATTTAGCTTTTCTTCCTCAGGTGGTTTTTAAATCAATACAATACCAGTTTATTTATTATAATTGAGTGCATTGCTTTCATCAATGTTCGTGGAAGCTGGTATTTTTTTTTAGATAAATGTGTGAACAGAACCCAGCGTGAGTTATGGTTACAGCAGACTCACACAGTTTCTCAGTTAAAGATGGAGTATGAGATTGTAGTCCAATACACCTTTTGTCAAATTGAGCGCATATCTCTTTGTGGGCTGCAAGCTGGTCTTTGTACTCAGCCCTGGATCTTGGACCAATCCATGCAACACGATTCCATCCAACCAGCAACAGTTCCTGCTCATGCACAAGCCGACTACCTGCACAGAGCAGCCCTATGAATCCATACACATTTTCCAGAAGACTGGGCAAACTCGATTTTTAAAAACTGCCTCTCTTTAATTTTTTGCACTGGATGGATCTGGGCAGCAGCTGATGCCCAAACTTATAGAGCTGGTGTGAGAGACAGCAGTAACCGCTTCTCTCCTCCCTGTTTCCAGTGGAAGATGTAGAGTAAAAAAAAAAAAAAGCAGGTTTTAGCACCGCAGGGCTCTGTTTCCCCCAGACAGACTGTAAGACTTCCATCCTCCACTGGGCTCCTCTGCGCTGCAAACACATTTGCTGCTGGTGCTGGTTCGGCCTCCGCTGGGGAAAGGATGTCGTTTACAGCCTCTGTGGTTCTTCTGACTGGTAAAAACTAGCTAACAACTAACTCTCAGTTCAGTTTTTACTCCATGATGTTTCGGATGCTGTGTTTTTGTGCGTGCGTGTTGTTCATTTGATCATGTTTCATAGCGTTTGTTTTGCTTCAGCTAAGAGACAGACGCATCCTTTGTAATTCCACGCCTATAAAGCTGGAATGTTTCTCTTTTGGTCAGCTAGCTCAGTAGTTAGGGCTGTTTATATGGTAATGCACATCCATGAAATTGGGGTTCAAGGCCTCTGAAGGAGCATTAAGTACAGGGTGTATTTGTTTGGCTGTTCAGTTCAAATATAAACAACTCAGTATGGCTTACTCCACGTGTAGAGCTGCACTTTGAACATGTTTATAGCAACATACAACCATAAGCTTGAGGAGTTTAACCCTGAAGAATCATTTCAGTTATCTGTAAACTGCAACCTTATGTCTGAAACCTGACTAGCCTGTGATGCTTTTACCATAAACCATAAAACCCCAAACAAACAGTTTGCTCTGACCTCGAAAAGTTTTGCTTTTCAGATGGCCACTTCCTTTGTGGGGATTAGTGACACCACATTCAGCTTGAATACTTTTTCATTTGCAATCTTAAGCACGCCAGGCATATTTCAGAACTAAAAATCTTACCAAGGGCAGCTTTAACACAGCCACATTTCAAACCGAAAAGAACTTCAGTATTTACCTGGATCCTCCAGGCTCGCAAACTGGCAAATCTGACTGATGCTACTGATCCAGCTGTTCATCTCCTCCTCAGTTTTGGCCACCAGGTAAAAAATGCGAGACGACGTCTTCACCACAAAGAGGTGCTTCCCATGGAAGTCTCGCTTTATCCGAAGCTGCCCGTTGAGCATTTCGACCTCACACTCTTTCAGGTCAATGGTACGTATTGGCTTTTTGGAGTTTTTGCTTTGGTAGTATTCCAGCACATCAGGATTACCGCTCATGCGACCTCTCCGAAGCACGAACCAGCGTTTCCTCCACGCCTGCAGGCAAAAGGAACAGACAGTTTGTCCTGGTGTCAGTTTAGACATCCACTACATTATTATTCATTTTAAGCACAGTGCTTCATAGTTCTAGCTGCAGCATCTCCCTGTCCCCCACCTCCACCATTTTATTAGTCATCACCAGTCATGAGAATCTGATCACAGCTCCTGTGCACAACAGCTAACATCGCAACTTTAAACTCAATTTTTTGCTTTTGTTATGGTCAGTAAGCGGAACTTTAACTCACATTTCCCAGAAGTACAAAGAAGAGGAAGTTCACTGTATTTAGCAGAAAATGTCTAACACAATGAAAGAGGTATTTATACAGTACTTCACTGCTTTATACTGAAAACTTAGTACTGAAACTGTCCTGAAAGGTATTTATAGCTCCAAAGATCTGCTTGCAATAAGTAACGCCTGAGCGCTTACTGCAGAGAGAGTGCCATCCTCGTCATGAAGGTGTCAATTTTCAAGAATAAAAATAGTACAATAATATATAGTATAATAATAGTATACTAATATAATATATATAAAACCTAACAAGAATAACAAACCTGCATATGAAAATGGTATCATTTCACACTTGGTTTTGTGGTTTTGTGTGCTTGTTGGGGTGGAGCTTCTCCTGATATTTTTATTTTTTTGACATTAACACATTTTCTGCATGTGGGTAATGTGCTACTGCACAAGTCAGTTGGTAATTTATGTGTTCATACCAGGAAATGGTTAGACACGCCACACTTACTGCCAACAACCCTGCCAAGTTTAAGAGGAAACCGTAACTAGACAGATGGCAATTCGATCCTATAGATGTTCTGAATATGAAAAGTTTTTACTCTCTAAAAATGAAGCTGTGGTGTCCATCCAAGTGAATCAAAGAGAAGCAAAATGTAAACACTGGTCAATGTTGCTCTTTCAGAAACATAGAAAGCAAAGAAATATAGGACATTACAGAAAATGTCACTTTTTAATTAAGGTGGACTTCCAAGCTTTTCTTATATTACCTGCGTGTGAAGGCCAATATTTAATCTTCTAAAAATGACTATCTTACATTTATTCGAAGTTTACATATAAGCCTGCTTACTCCATTTTTCCAGCCCTTTTGACCACATCTCATGATCTTCCTCATCATCGGATGAAGCTTGCTTATCTGCCATCATGTGACCTAGGAATGAAACTTGGCGACAGCTGTGCAAACTCTCCAGTAAATGGACCTTGAGCTTAGATTATTTTGGGGGGGTTAAATATTTTCAAGATAAAAAAACAAAAAGCCACGTGTGTACTGGGGTTTATATTTACACCATTTTAAACACAACAGACCTTTGAGCAGATAGTTTGACTTAGATAGTGTAGACAGAGCTGCAAAAGCACAGATGTTACTTAGCAAGCAGCTAATGGAATTCAGTCATTTTTAATTGTACTATTTCTACATATGTACTTGTCTTAAGTGGAAAAAGCCCAGGATAAAATGCTATTCTCAACATCTCACATGTACTATCATCAATGAGATATTAGCTCCCCGTAGCTGCAGGAAAAAACAACCTCTGAGCTGTAAGCTACACGCTGAAAATTGCAAGTTTTGCCGAAGATTTACAATCACGCAATAAGGCAGCCCTACTTGCTTTTTTTGGCAAATTTTATGACACCGCTTGACTCCCTTCACCAAAACAATTCCCCTGTCACTATTTTGCACCATCACTACATCCTGGGCCTAGCACCGCCCAAAACGACTGTGATTGGTTTAAAGAAAAATAAACAATCCAGCACGAGAATGAGGCGCAGTCAGACCGTTCTACAGCTCTGTGGAGATCTGGTCTGGAATCTACAAGGCTATACTTTTGCTACACATGCACATGGCTTCATAACACAATTGGCTGAATGTTTCCCCGGTTTAGCTGTCACAAAGCAGACGATTGTTTTTTTTGGGGGGCGGTACATGTGTCATACAACCGCTATGTTTGGCATTCTCCCGTGGAATTCTCCCATAGATTTCGATTTAGGAGTCTTTAAGCGGCAGGTCTTTCCCTTGTAGCGTCTCTGGAAACGTTTCTGTTGCTTTCAATGTAACAATTAACCTCAGCAAACACAATGCAAGCACTTGTGAGTATAAGGGCCTGCTTTAACACACAATATCCCATTAAATGTATGTTTAAGAAGGCAGAAAGTGGAAATGCAAGGACAAAACCTAATCCAAGTGCTTCTGTTTCTGAGCAACACAACAAGTAACAAAACACAACAAACACATCTGCGCACACCCATGGTGACATTTTCCCTTATACTGCTTAACCACCAAAGATAATTTTGACGGCGACAATTAAAATTTTCATGCCACCACCTGATATTTGAATAAGGCAAATACCTGTCTGCACAACTGCCTGAGAAAAACAACTCACAGCATCAACTGGATTTGCATAGCGTGCTAAAATAAGTTTCTATTTCCCGCCCCGAACCCCCAACCCCATCAACGCACGCCTCCACCCACCCTTTCCTTGCACTGACTGTTGACAAATGTCCCTCCACCTCCTTGCTTCGTACAGAGGAAGTACAAACAGCCATCATACAGCTGGCTATTTCTGCTTGTCGCTTAAGTGTCTGACTGCCGCTGACATTACTTCCCATGTTTCACAATACTCATCACACAAACACATACACAGAGCAAGCCCAATGTTATCACATGACCCCAACAACCACAAAACAGTGTAGGCTTGGATGCTGTTCGTGTAAGCAGTTATGTATAGGAAAACATGTCCACGTCTGTCTGAAGTCCATCTGCAGTTAGTGATACATATTCTGATTAGAATAACACATAGCTGCTCTAAGTATGAAACGCCTCCACCAGCCGACACACAAAAGTAAGCTGTTATGATAGAAATGAGGAAGATCATATGAGGGAGACTGAATTACAGTTTAACAAAAGCATACATTCAACTGAGTATGTCTCTAAATCCTCATTCCACATCATAACACACACACTAACACACACACACATATACACACTCTCACACACACAGGCTCAGCAGCACAACCTGGCATTCCTCCTCCTGGCAGAGGACATACAAAAGACAAGTGTCCGATGTGTACTCCTACTCACAAATCTCTTTAGTTTTTTCTCCGGAGGGGATTTAATGAGCCAGCCCGTGCAGACCACATCCCCAGCACTCATCTTGACTGCAGAGCGTGTCGTCCTCACGGCCGCCGCTGCTGCTGCTGCTGCTGCTGCCGCCGCTGCTGTGAAACTGAGAACAGTGTGAAGCATATCCTGTGTTCTGGTATTCAGCTCAGCCAGTCCAAAAGGAGGAAGTAAAGAAATTGATCAGAGCAACACAGAGAGAGAGAGACAGAGCGAGAGAGAGGGAGAGAGAAAGAGAGAATTATGTGTTTAATGGACAGAGCTCTTTGCCAAAGAGGAAAAACACAACACGTAATAAGATTTGATGATTGAGCCTGGCAACGTACAATATGTAGAAGCGTCACATGCTGTTGGGAGATCTGTGATAAAGACTGTAGAGATCACCCTGCTGCTCTACTTGATGCCTAAAGATAAACTAAAACATGCTTACAAGCACGTAAGCTTTCAAAAAAGGTAAAGACTTCATATTAATAGTGGCATTAAATGTTCATGACATGAATTAAATTATATACCGGACAGGTTTCTAAAGTAAAATATCTTTGTTATTTTTAGAGCCCTACTTCACATTTGGGAAACATGGAGTAAGAAAGGTCGCACAGGCAAACTGACATTATCTTCAAGCTCACTGGAGTTTATCATAAATGCTGAAAATATTTAACAAATACTAGAAAATAATGGTAATTTTCCATAATTATTGTTCACTTTCTAACCTCAGTTCTTAATGAGATAATGTGTATTTTTGTGTAAAGGTGTCAGATATATTACATAGATATAATTAGGGTCCGAGCACCCAAAAGGGTGCGAAGACCCTATTGGAATTGCTCGGGTTTGTTTATTACTATTATTCATGACACGCACACACACAAAATTTGCCACACACATCAGACCTGGTGAAAAATTTTAGAATTAGGGGGAAAAAAACACACCTCAATAGAAAAATGGCTCAACAGCGCCACCTAGAAAGATACAAAAAATGGGCCCCCAAACATATTTTAACGTAGAGCCACGAAATTCGGTTCGTGAAGCACAAAAAAGTCTCAAGAACACATATCCGAAACTCAACAGGAAGTCGGCCATATTGAAAAAAATGGTGGCTTTTGGCCAAAAATTACCCTTTTTTGGCCATTTTCAAACTCTATCTCCTCCTAGAGGGTAAGTCGTAAACATTTCAAATTTGGCCAGCACAAACTACAGGATGTGGTGATTAAAAGTCATTAAAATGCTCTGCAAAAGTCTGACAGCATGGAAATGGCGACCCGTGCAATTTCGATCAATGGCCATTTTGGCCATTTTTGCAGTGTTTCCGGCATTCAACGGAGTCCTGTCGGAAGGCCGTTTTACCTACATCTACAAGATTCGGTGGGTATGTGCAGCAGGTCAGAAAAAAGTCAATCAGCGCCGAGCCCTAAACCCAACAGGAAGTCCGCCATTTTGAAAAAAACACGGTCAGAATTTTGCGATTTTTGCTCATTTTTGGCCATTTTCAAAATCTATCTCCTCCAAGGGGGAATGTTGTACACACCTGAAATTTGGCCAGCACAATCTACAGGACTTGGTGATTAAAAGTTATTAAAACGCTCTGACGGCGTGGAAATGGCGGCCTGTTGATTTTCGCCAAAATGCCATAAAACGCCATTAAATGGGACGTGCTGTGTAACTGGCCTGTACGTGTTCCAATCGGCCTGAAACTTTACACGTGTGCTCTGAGTATCAGCCAGAGCACGTTTCTGCCACGGCCAACATGCACGCCGCTGCGGCTCGCCACCCAACAGGAAGTGGCTCATAACTAGGCCGCACGTGCTTCTATCTGCCCCAAACTCGACACGCTGGATCAGTGTCCTGCCCGGAGCACGTTTGCGCCACAACCCGACGTGCGCAAAGGCCGACAGTCGTACAGTGAGGACCCGTCCAATGCCGCTTGCGGCTTTATTTGAAATAGTTGCTGCAGGACTTCAGAGGTGCTTTGATTTGTGCATGCTTTCCACCTGCAATGCCCAAACAGTGGGAAGTTCTAAGTTCTGTACAAATCCTGTGCTGTTACTGCCCACTGTGCTCGACACATCTCAGAAACTATCACAGTGACACGCTGCTGCTGCCTAATCTGTAACAGCTATGTTCTGTAAAAAGTGCAAAGTCTCAACACATCAGTGTGAGCCCTGTTTGTTCTCTAAGAGGGGCAGTGTAACGGTCTACATGGCAAACTGATGCATGTCTACTGCAGTATGAACAGAACTGCATCTGCATTCTGCTTTCAAAGTTTGCATCCGTCATGTGGAAGCCACGAATTTGCCTTTAAATCTGCATCTTTTCTCACAGCTAGCCTCTCGTCCTTGACTTCTTAAGCCTGGATTATGTTTTCCGTACGAACATGACGCATGGAAATCAGCACTAGCGCGGCGTCTGTTACCAAACTACAGGGGGCAGTGTGTCGCAAACGCAGGTATATCACTGTGCTGAATTGAAGTAGAAGAAGTTTGGAATTGTTTACATCGGTTACAGCACACACTCGTAGTTTACGCAAGTTTGCAGTAAGTACGCCGTATTTAGTACAAGGCTAATTCCATCCGTTTTTAGTAGTTTGTTTACTTTTCTGACATAATTATTAATAGACTCATCTCATCTAGAGGGAAATTTGAGTCAGTTTCCCTGAGACTCAGCTCAACTCTCTTGAAATCCTAGGGATATTTAGGCTTCCCCCTGGGTCTCCACTTTGCCCTTTGGTGCTCTTTTTTGCCTTAACGTATCTGTCCCGTAGGTTTTTTCCAGATTTTCTTCACCCATTCCTCTTCTTTACTGAGTGTGGCCATAAATTCACGCCACAAATTGCTCGTCACACGGCTATCACGGTGATCCCTGTGTGAGACGAATTATATCAATGCCTGTATTTTTGTAGGGCTGGACCCAAATATCCGAATATTCGGTCGTGGTAGTGGTATCAGGATAGCACCCCCCTGACCGAATATTCGGATATTCGACATCAAATGGGCCCGAATATCAGAAATTGCTATTCGGACCAGCCCTATGTTTTTGTACCGCTGCCATTAGGAGCTCCTGTTCGTCCGCCATGTTTTCCATGCGTCTTCATCCGCATTGTTACAAATTTTCAGAGATGCGCAACGCTGAAATGTTCCACATAAAAGGACCGCGTGAGGGGGCGTGGCTGCTAAAATGACAATTTTTCCGCACAGAGCCGCGTGGATGTGTCAGGCATAACCCAGGCTTAAGTACTTAAGTCAGATACGTCCTGTTTCAAAAGACCAAGATAAAGACGGCCAAATGTCAGAGTTGAAGCTTCAAAAGAGCAGTCCGCAAACCAACGCATGGACACAGTTGCTGCCTCCATCTTTTCTGTACAGCTTGTGGGTAGTTTGCACCTCTTGTCGATGTAAACCTTCATATGACTAATTGCTTGTTCTCTCTCTTTTGCCACAGGATACTGTTTCTGAGACAGCAAATCAAAGAACTTGAAAAGTTGAAGAATCAGAATTCTTTCATGGTCTGAGAACTTCTGGTTGCGAGTCGGAGCGGGCGTCGGGGGGTGATAGAGGGGGCGGGGAGACCCATTGCACATAGTTGGAGGCTGGAGGAAAAACAGTTGTTCAGTTCCTCTTGAGCCCAGTCTTAACACTCACACACAGGAGCTGCAGCCGGGTTGGCTTTGGACCGTTGGGCTGTGAGAACCAAGAGGGCGGAATGAAGAGCTGTGGCGGGAGGAGGAGGAGGGTAAGGAGGGTGACTTACAAGACTCCGTTTTGTAAAAGCCCATGTTGTGGGAAAAAAAATGTAGATTTCCTGTAGATGTTATTATCTATGTTGTAAATATGTTTTGTAGATTGAAGCCATGGAAAGCCATGCCTATCAAAGCTTTTGACATCCAAACTAATCAACGCCAAGGCGGCTACGTTCATTAGCTAGCCTTTCCTTCATGTTAACTTGTCTGCAGACTTAAAGCTTCATTTTGTCAGTTCATAGATCATTGAACCATTGAGCATGTGTGTGTGTGTGACCCGCATGGAAACGGAGGAGGATGTTTGAAGCCATTTATTTACACAGACGCCTAGCATAACACACAGGTGTCAATGTAGTTTGTTTCTTTCTTCAAATCTGGGTGAGCTGATAATTTTGTCTAGATTCTTTCCCTCCACCTCCTCTGGGTGAACTGTAACATGTACTCAGGCACGGCAAACATCCCCTCTGTGCACATCCACCGCAACTGCCCACAATGGTTCAG